GAGAAAATTTTCATTAAAAACTAATCATTGACTCGAAATTAAAATGCTGAAGTCTATTAGTTAGTCGAATGAATTTCCCGTGTTTATTTGCGTAGCGTTGACTAACCTACAAGATGCAATAGTGACGCAACAGTAAGCGTTTCTCAGACACTCGTACACTTTTCACTTGGCAAGATTTTAGACATGGCTGTAATCATTGGCTTGCTTTCGTGGATTTTCAGTGTTTGTCGCATTCCCGGATATTATTTATAAATCAAATAACTCAATGATTATTTTAATCCTAGATCATTTTAATTTTGTTCTAGTAATCGAAAATAGTCCCGAAATATCTGGCGATCATCTCAAGCAGTTACTGCACTTTGCATCCTCCGCGATTACGACCCGCTTTGACAAACTTATTAGAAATCAAAGCCAAATTAAATGGCTGTTAGTCTAGATTGGGCAAAATCTAATCTTTTTTGAAATCGAATAACTTGAATATTTTTTTAATACATAACAGGGATCCAGAACGTCGGAGTTCCATACACCATTTAGAAATTGATAGAAACATTGAAAAGTCGGCAAAAAAGCGTTTTTTTTTTTTATTGGTTAATGGTTGATTTCATCATAATCGCTGATTGTCTTTGACACCGCGATCGTTTTGGCGGCGATATCCTAAAGTTTGTATTCTATATTCCCGCCCTTTCTCGTGTTTTGCAAGAATAAGCGGTCGCCGAATATCGAAGTTTCATATTTCTAGTATACCCTTGCGTTCACATCAGCGACAGCTGTTGAATACATTAAGGGCTGATTTTCTAAACCAAATTAATTTTATTCTGAGTTTTATTCCCTGTCTTGGATTTGATCTTCCTTATCAACGCTAAATTAACCGTGCCTGTTTAAAGTGAACGGTAACCGAGATGCAGATATTTATTAAAACGATACTTGAGTTTCTCGTGCTTTCCTTTGGTGTTCGTGTTATTTTAGTATTAGATAGATAAACCTAGCAAATTTACGATTGCGTGAATCCTGAATGTTGATTTTAAAAAAGCGATTAAATAAATTGGCAATAAAGGCATTCCTAGGCCATTGTGCCTAATCGAGGGTCAGACGCTAAATATACCTAATTCTCTAAAGTTTTAAGGTTTTTTTTTTTTCAACAAAACAACACCCCGATGGTTATTATAGCTAAAATACTTACTGAGTAATGCTCAATTTTCTTTACGGAATTTGCAAATTCACCACTTCACTTAATGATTTTGATTATGTCATGCTATAAGACTTAATTAGTACTGCCCAGTTGCTTCGAAATTTACCAATTGTAATCATTTTCGATGATAATAGACGCAATACTTCGTGAACGAGTCAGTGTGCATTGTCACAACGAAATTCACAATTAATTTTACGTTTTACTCTTGGCTCAGCGGCCATGTATGGTCGAGTACAATGTTACATATTCGAAACATCACTTGGCCAAGGATGGAAGGGATCACTAAAGAGCTAATACAAAGTGCTTTAAAGGGAGTAGGCTTATGACATTTCTTATCTGGTTACAATTTAATGAGTGTTTTTCATACAAGTAACTCGTACCAGCTTTTGGAAAAACTTCTGGTCATTTCTAAATCCATGCTATTTACATAACTATAGTTTTCTAACGATCTAAAATTACCTTTTTCACAATGAAACACCGAAAAGTCATTTTAACATTTAATTTCAATCAACTTTATGTTCGGTAATGCAAGAAATGGCTAATGATATGTCACCAAGCATGCGGTGTTTAAAATCTGGGAAATTTATTTTAAATACCTAATCTGATTTGACGTTTCTAAATTTACGGAACGGTCGATACGTTTTTTTGCAAAATAATGTATTGAAACGATACGTTAAGTGCGAAGAAAAGCACATAACACCATGACGCAAAAACAACGACTTTTCAAATTTGTCTTTTTTTCTGATAGCGAGCGGCGTAGGGAAATCTCGCACAATTCACGATTGAGTTGGAGACGCGCGAGTTCGGTGTCCAAGCAGAGCGGCGCAGGTCACGTGGTACCGGATATTCGAATAGTAAAATGGCATTCGAATATTTTATTATTCGAATATTTTGCCCAGCTCTAGTTGTTAGGTGTGTTATTGTTACGAGGACTTGGTATTTTAAATACGCGCTTAAGGTTTGTTGTTATTTTGCGTTGCTTGTGTGCGGCTCTTCACAGCTTTGAGGTTTGAAATGCGGCTCTGAGACTAAAAAAGTTTGAGAACCACTGGTTTAGATCATTCAATGGACATCTTCAAATACTGATTTTTTATAGACGATTGAGTCCTAACTCAAGAAAAAAGTGACTTTTCGACCCCAAAATCATAATAGCAACATGAAATGCAGTAATTTAGAAAAACAATCAATAAGCATACTTTGTCATTACAAACGACATCCCATCTCCAGTCAGATGTCTCGCAGGAAATGCCAACGTTGCTAATTTTTCCTCAGGATAAATATCTGCGAGTCGTGTCTTAAAATTATGTATGGCGGAACATGAATCACAAAAAAAATAAAATATGATACAACTACATTCCATGAATCTCAATTAGGGAAATGGGATGAAACTCTTGCTCAGCAAAAAGTAACCGATGATTACCTAAAAAGAATACGAGATATAGAAGATCTGGTATACCAGTATTCTTCAAACTTTTCTCGTCGCGACCCAGTGGACAGGCTTCCATTTTTGTTACGACCTTCAGGAACTCAAATTTAGCAAAATTTAATAATATATACAGAAAATAATAGTGGAACTGACGATACTATTATTGCGATCGACGTGCTTGCATAATCCCACACAAAAGATCGAACCTCGGATCTATTTCGGTCTCAGTACAGGTTCGAAATCTTTCCAATTGAATGGATATTTTGTTTCATTTTAAGTTAATGTAGAAAATCATTTTACCTCGACCCACCGGAGGGTCGGGACCTCAAATTTGAACATCCCTGCAGTATACGATTAAAAGAAGCACTTTTTAGAACACGGAAAAATTAGATAATCACGGAGGCCTGATTAGATAACTGGGAATTCTATTACAAAAGATAATCGGGACCCTGACTAACTGTGATGGTGTAGATGTTGGAAATAAGTTCACGTATCCCATTAAAAATATATTTTATTAGGAATAATTGTCATGATAGTAATAATCTTCTACTAAAATTTTGATTCAAAATTTTATTCTTGGTGTGCCATGCAAAAACCAAATATTACTATAGGAAAAATTGTAGAATACATGGATATATAAAGTGATTAGAATACGATCAAAAGATAAAATTACATAACGCATACTATAATATTATTACATATATAAATATAAATAAATGTCTGTATCAGCTATAAAACAATCGCAAATTAACCTTTTTAGCATATTATAAAAAATTCATTTTGTAATCAAAGTTCCCCTATTTGATTTCTAGAAGTTGATTAATTTTTTTTTCAAACTTCCTCCGAAAAACTTCGCTTTTTTATTTTAATTAAAGAGAAAATATATTCGTTTCTGTAACACATTTTTACAAGTATCAAATTAAAATTTGTAAAAAACCCACGGATATATAAAGTGATTTGGGTACAATGGAATAGTTCAAAATGCATATCATACATAATTTTATTACATATAAACGACTGTATGTATCAGGTCCAAAGCAAACACAAATTGAATAATTAACGTAATATGAAAAAACTAATTTTGTAAAAAACGTGCATGGATTTTATTTATAGAAGTTTACAAAATCAGCAATCGAAATTATTTGTTTTGTCTAGTAGTACCAGCGTCTCTCAACGTCCATGCGTTGAGGATCAGCATTTTCATCGACTTTTTTGAAAACCTTTATGCAAAGTTGCTTGAATTCCATTAGCTCTATTTCTGCCCTCCTCTCTTTGGTCTAAATGAATGATAAACTTTGAACGCTTCAAAAACGGCAATCTATTGCAGCACGTAACGATAAGCATAATATTAATGAGCCAAACAGGAAAAATCTCTGTCTTTGCAAATGAGATTAGACATGTCGGGAGATGTTAAGGGCTGCTGGTACTGAGCGAAAAGCGCGAGTAAGCGTTGTATAAAAGAATATAACTTTACCTCGAGTCAAAAAACAACAATAAAAACTTGCTAAAGCTGTTTTATGGAATCAAATTTTAACTATTATACGGGAATCTAGAATAAATAGTGCTTTTTCAAAGTTTATAACATTAATTTACGTAATTTTCACACGAAGTGGCTTGTAAATGAAATAGTCTCACCCACACTCTCTCGTTCACTTTATCGTGCGTGGTGATAATTTTGTTTTTGTCCGACTTTTGAATTTGGGTTTTATAAAGAGGGCTGTGAATTTTTCTTCTCGCAAGTCGTGCAAATTTCAAAAGAGCTGTTTTGCTATCTTCTGGCTGTGAAAGTGAGAGAAAATACAGTGGGATTTTGGAACAATTAACTGGTTATCTATTCCCATATCAAACATAAAACTTCTCCGTTGGCTTTGTGTACTCCTTTTTATAAAGCGCTTTCAGTAACATACTACAGTATAAACTAAAAGCAATCGGGAGAAAAGAAATTAGTGATTAGCATTTTTCCAACAGTTTTAAACATAAAATAATCGAAGCACTTCTTACTTGCAGAAGATATCTTGCATTAGGTGATCTTCCGACGTAGACATTCTGTAAAAAAATGAATATAATGTTTGAAACCAAATTGCATTTTCGTCTTACAAACAGTATCATTGGAATCAAGAGAAAATACAAGCATTGTTAAAGCAGTGATAAGTTTTGTTTTGCTTTTTGAATGAAAAATCACGGCTGCTGCTGAATATAATTTTAATATCGCTCAAGGAAAGTTTTGTATATGTCAGTTGAAGGCATGAAGAGCGCCAATTCGGCAATAGATAACGGTAATGTACTACATTGTCGAGATCCAGAACAAATATTCAAATGTGTAAATACAGCATAAGTCGGGGAAACATTAATTAATAATATTATAAATATTTGTATCTTACTATTTCTCTTGTCTCTACTTTCTGAAGTGTATTGTTCCACAACTCCTCTATTTTTTTGCGTTCCAAGTCAACTTCACGCTTCTTCGCATACTGTTGTACAAATTTTTATTAAAAGTAAAATGTGAGAAACTTATTATGGCTAATTCTCGTACAGTGAAACGATTTGTTCATTCACTATAATTGTCTTGTTTTGCTATATTATAACTTCAGTATCTACACAGTTAAGCCATACAAACAGTAAATAACACAATCCCCGTTTTGTGATAATCACCAGTTGATGGATAGAATTTCATTATAGTATTAAAATTTCTTTGTCAATCACTGACATTAAAATAACTTCCAAACTATATATGCTTGTGACACACACTGTACTTACTGGATTATTTTCACACCACGCATCTGTGTCTTTGCAAAGTTTTTGCAACTTATTTTTTTCGGAATCTGTCATTTTCGGCTGCATTAGCTTTATGCTTGCCCGTATCTCTGCCGTTACATTGCGAAGCTCAGGAAACCATTTGGTCGGAGTACCTTGTCTGTATTCTTGGTTGGGTTTCTTTGGTTCTTGCTGTAATTTAACAAGTAGGAATTTAACTTAAATTTGTGTTGTGACATGAATCAGCTATCAGCTTTTAAAATGACAGTTTGGTAAATATTTTGATATTAGATATGAAACAAGTAATCTAGTTTGTAAGACGGACCTCGCGAAAACGCACTCCAAATAAGCATCAAAAATTTTGCAATGTTAAACTGTAGGTAATTTTTATAGTTTAAAGGTCGCTTTTGTGTAGCTTTTGTGTTCTGCTGATTAGCAATCAATCCTCAGACAACACCCTAACCCCTTAAGACAAGTATGTGCAACCGGCGTGCCATATTCTAGCCCGCTACACCATTTAGTATGCCCTTTGTCAACACTCAAAATGGCGCTCCCGGAGTATGTTCACCAAGATGGCACACAACCCGAACCCTAACCTGGTACACATACTATGTTCAGGTTGTGCGCCATCTTGGTGCACATACTTCTGGTGCTCCCTTAAAATTTTCCCCATCAAGCATGAAATGCTAATCCGACAGTTTATGTACAAAAAGTCGTTCACATGGGTAAAATTACATCTTGTTTTTTTTTCTCTTTTCGCTGCGTTAAATCTTTCGATATCGATTTGCCCGATACCTTAATAACTTACTGTAAGGCTGAGCGATAGCCGTATTCTCTTTTATTTGTGTGACCCAGTTAGATGTCTGAAGTTGGTTATATGGCCCACCGACAGAAATATTACATAACTCTGCCTCAGACCAGTCTTTTCCAACCAGAGGGAGGAATCATTGGGAAAAGTGTTAATTTTTTGGGAAAATAAATACAGAAATACCTCAATTTTCTACGTTGGTTTACTAATACTGTTTGTGGTGACCAGTGAAAGGAGAATAAAGAGATCGAAAGAGGCAAACGTATAAATGTATTGAAACAGATTGGGAAACTCTGCATTAAATGTACGACAGGACTGCCAGTGAAAACTTGTTAGAGTATTAGATTAGTATATCAAAGGGACCAACTCACTTTTTTACAAATCCAGCTTTGTTGACGACGGATCTTATCTTTGTAATTCTCTGATAACGTGAAAGTACTTTCATGAATTCCATATTCAATACCTTCTTCCTGAGAATGGCATCATCGCATGTTGAGAAATAAATATGGCCGACGTTTAGATTTGGGCGCAAAAAGTTCGTAAAATATTCCAATAACATAATTTCCGTTTCATAATTTAACATATTGTATAACATAAATTCGTTAAAATAAAAACATTTCAGTTTTAATAGAACAAACTTCGCATGAAGACATAACGAGAATATCGGTCGGGGACCGAAGACTTATCGATGGACCACAAAAAAAAATTAATTATTAATTAATAACTTGCTAATTATATAAAAAAAAATGAGTAATTAATTAATAACTCGCTAATTATACGACATAATTAACCTAAAATCAATAGGCTTCTGGTCCGAGATATGATGCATGCACATGCAAAATTTAGAGCAGATTCAACCTCGCGTTCGTGAGGTATCGCGTTCATCTAACAGACAGACAAACAAATACCTATCAACTCTCAGACCATAAGTTGGGTATACAACACCACATAATTTTGATGACGTCATAGCAAAAAATAAAAGTAATAGACCTCTCTCAAAAAATATATTCTTTACTCACTGAAGATCGATAAGTAACTAGGCAGTTTTGTACATGATGTCGAATAATTTATACTTAAATAATGACGCACAATGGTCAGTCAACGATCAAGGAGGCGCATTTATGAACCTTCCCATGACGCCATTTTACGTAAATAAGCCACTTGATATAAGATAAATAAATTTATTTAAATTTTATCTCCATCGTAATAGCAATTACTGGCAAAGCGAAGCAAAATTTCATTTCTTTTTTTCAAGAATACATGCATGAGCGAAATACCTCGTTCTCAAATTCTGATCCATAGTAAATCAACTCAAAATTCTTTCTCAGTTTTGTTTCAATATTTCCTATTTCTTGAGACGTTAGATTCTGAAAAGTAGCAGGTATATGGATTTTATATTCAAAAGATATTGGTTACGAAGTCATAAAAAATAGTAAATATTGGGAAGAATGTGAGGATTGTTACGCGAGACCCAGTTTCTGTTAAAAAAGAACACATGTTGTAAAGCTTACAATATTTTTCGGACTATTCATCATAATATTATTGAGGTTAATTTTGACTTTCGTCAGCAAAATTTTCAATATTCCATCAATTCCAATATTCCACGTTAAGGTACTTGTTGTATAGCAATAAAGTATATATAATTAATTTCCATGTTACTTACACTCTTCTTTTTTGCAGAAATTTCTCTGTTTCTCCGCACATTCTTATAAGTTTTTGTTTATTTTTCTCAAGTTTGATCACTGAAATACGACTTCGTATATATGCTATATAATCACGAAGTCTTATTTCTGCTTCATCGCGTCTTCTTTTGTCCGACTCGCGACTCCTTCTCTGAAAATTGATAATAAATTATATAAGCTATTTATGGGAATGAAACAGAATATGCAAAACTTGCTTTGATAGCAGTCGATTAAAAGCTAAATTTTAACACATCAAGGGCGAGATAAGGTATGAATGGGTTTCTCCTCGAGAGTTATGGAGGCCCAAAGTGATGTTTATACTTACTCATATATACGGCGTTTATAGGGTCTTGAAGTTTTTGTAAATTGCAAAGGGAATTCATCGATACCACATACTGTCCTGGCCCTCATGGATATATTGAACAAAGTGAAAATACTTATACAATTACTGATTAAAAACAACGAACCTGGTTAAGATGTATTGGAAACTGACTTAAAAACAAAATTGAAATTGTAAAGGAACTTTATGAACACCCTGTAAATATATAATCTATGAAGATAACTTAGGACAATGATATTTCCACTTCCACTATTAATTGCGCTACAAAGGTTATATGCAATATACCCAGCTCGGTTCAGTAACCATATTACGTTTCATAGTTACACGTTTGCTCATGCCTTCCACTTCACAACTTCATTTGCTAGTGGTTTTCAAACAGTTGCAAACAATACAATGAAATGATTGGTTTCGAACCTTGTTTTCCCCAGGAATATTATTGCGAGCCTTTGCCACCGCACTTTTTAATTCATCGTATATGCTTCTTAACTCTTCAAGTGAATATAGCTGAAACAAAGGTATTCTTGTTGAAATAAAGTCGTTAAAATAAAAATTTGATAAATTAGAAAGATGGGTACTCCTGACGTATGCGCACCAAGATGTCGCATAACCTGAACCCTAACCTGGTAGACAACCTGAGTTCAGGTTGTGTGTGATACATGTGATACACTTAGACGGTTGGGACACTTTGTAGGTAACATACAAAATATTTCTGGGTTCAAATTGTTCATAAATGGTCTCTTTTAACTTCTGGTTTGTAAAAACGTTAATATGTACGTTTTGCTTGTCGCGAAGAGGGAAACTGATTATAACAATTACGTTATTAACTGTATGGAGATTAACAAACAGCGAAACTAATAGAAATATAAAAACATGGCTATGTACATTTTAGAGGTTCCTGGTAAAAACAATACAACCCAATACTTAATCGACCCGTCTGGCGCAAATCAAAGCAAATAGACAATAAAACCAACAGTAAAAAGAAAACATCTGCAAGGATTTACACGATATACAATCTAAAATAGTTCAAAAATGAGTCTATTGATCATTTCTTTGAATCTAAGATATTGGATAAACTATTCTAAAGTTGTATCTCAAAATCCAATCAAAAAAAATTTACCCAATACGAGTTGACACGTCGTTTTGCCGCTCGACATATGGTGAGTATACATTCCTTATCCTTGAATAACAGTGCTGCCCTGCACTCATTGGATTTAACAAATGTTTCAGCTTCCTCAACATAGCTTTCTATGTCCTCTAACATTTCATGTGGATTTTTCATTTCAAATCGGGCTTTCTTCTTTTCCTCAGCGGCCTGAAATATAGGGAAAAAGTTATTTCAAGTTTGAATGGGCCGTTTCCACCCCAAACATGGCTATGTGAAACAGCCTGGAACTGATTTGCAAGACGGTATTGTTTTTGCACCGGTCATGTATTGTATTCCATACTAATTTTTTTTTTTACCTAACCATTAGTTAATAAGCAATAAGAAATTGTCTCAGTATTATTTAAACCAGGGGTGTGAAAAAAATTTTTTGTCGGTGGGCCATATAACTATTAGCCAGGCCACACAATAAATTTAGTTTCTCCGTATGGGAAAAGCAAAAGAAGAGAATATGGATATTGCCTAGCCTTGCAGGAATAAAGACACCAGGCAAAACGCAGTGACAAGAGCAAAAAACGTGCATTTTTACCCACGTGAGCGGCTTTTTAAGCATAAATTGTTGGATTCGGATTTCGTGCTTGATGGGGAAAATATGAGTGTTAACAAGGGCTACATTGAATGGCTTTGCATGCAGGGTTAGGGCTACTGGTTGGCCTGTTGCAAACCCCTAATTTAATCAAACAACCTGTTTTTAATTAAAATAGAATTTTATTACTTTGAAACACTTTTTAATAAATTACTGTGTCACCATTCTATTTTTGCAAACTATTTTGCAAACTATTTTTTAAATATATGATTTCATGAATGTGTATTCAAAATTATTTAATCAGTATATATATATAGCTTGTGTATTTCAAAAAAGTTTTGGTAAAAAAAGTTTTTGTATCTTAAAAGATTTGTGTGACAAAGCTTTATGATTATAAGACAAAAACTGTACTTGTTGATTTTCTTTTATTCGGTCTCTTATTCTGTCCATGAATTCTTCTAATTCTGTTTTTTGTTTCCTTATCTCGTCCTTGTTCTGCTGAAACAACTTTCATCGAATAAATAAAAATGAAAAAAATTGTTTGGGACGCAGAATGCAGTTTCTACCTTCTCTAAAACGTTTCTAATTATAAAACGACGCATTATAAGTTCTTCTTTACTTTTATTCTCTTGGTGGATGTTTCCCCCAGCCCCGACTTTTTTATTCTTGTAATCGTGGCGAAGCAAGAAGTTAGCGGCGACGTAGCAATTAAAATTTTTTTAGTTACCGCTCAAACACCTTTTTCACGCAGCTGTCGCAGTTTAGTGCTATTTGTTAGGCTCCCAAAATTGGGCATAAATCCAAATTAGTCATCTCGCTCTTCTCAGAAAGTTTTGGTTATCGAAAAGCTCACGAAAATTTTGAACGACATCTGCTCGAATACATAATTCGGGACAAATTATGATTTTGAAGATTAGTCAATTCCTCGCATGATAAGAGTAAAGAAAATCGCGTAATTAACCATAGAATCGGTTTTCCTGGGGTCAAAGGTCAGATAATGATCCAATACCTTTGGTTATATGAGAAAGAAAAACGCTCATCAAGAATAATTTTAATATAAAAATTAGAATATTATTCTTACGGGGTACGAGCTTAGCCACTCCTGTAATTCATCACATTTTTTCATTATCGACTTTATATCGTCTGATGTAAGTTCGTTTTTCTGTTCACCCAAAACGTCAAAAGATCTCACACGACTGATAAACATTCGACATTCCTCGACTGCTTTGATTATATCTTGATTACGTTTCTGTTGAACAAAAAACGTTTGTAAATGCGCATTATTTTAATTAAAAAAAATTGGCATTGTCTATCTCTCCTGATCTGATTAAGGTGTTACAATGGAAAAGTTGGTCGCATGATCTTCTCATATGTATTCGATCAATAAATCTAAAACAAACGTTCATGAGAAGTAATTATAAAGCGAAACTTCATATTTACAGTATACAGTAATTAAGTTGGCCGTAAAATGGTTTATCAACAAAATGACTGGACCCAGTATGAGTAAGCATTTCTACATAAAATCTATATCATAGAAAGTTGCAATTATCATATTTACAGAACTATTATGATTTAGTTTCCACCTGTTTGTCAGCTTTCAGACTTTTCAAGATATCTGAAACCGCCGTTTCTAAGTTCTTACATTCATCTCTAAGTTGTCTCAATGACATCTTTTGCTAGAAAATAAAATGTATCTGCTTTTTTTGAACGTGTACAACCAACAATATCGCTATGTGAGTTAAATATTGATACAATTAACACATAAATTGGAAGAATTTATATTAGAAAGTATATCGTGTATTGTACATACGTAGGGAATCATGAGCCATTTTTCAGCATCAGAGCATTTTTGGAATATTTTTTCCAAGTATTCATCAGTCATTTTATCTTTTCCTATATTTCGAGTTACAAAATGTTTCCAAGTTTTTATACATCTAGATAAACTTTCCTCTGCTTTGTTCCATTTTAGTTGATCATACTTGCATTTATTTGCTATCTAAAATGTTTTAAAAATAATTACTAAACTCAGCGCCCTGTCAGCTCTTAGTGCGTCATTATTGTATACAATGTTATACTTGCGCCTCACCAAAACAATGACCTACTGATGGGAGAGTTACATGCCACCACTGATGCACTAAGAGCCGATGGTTCTTTTCAAGGATTGGGGTCCATAGGTACAACCCGACTCGAAAAAACTTAAGTCAGCATAGACCAGAACACAGCTAGATATTAGGGCAATTACATAAAACCATCCAACATTTCAATCAGAGAATGATAGGATACCAAAAAGCTAGTTCTTTAAACTCAGCTTGCCCAAAAGGGTGTTGTGTATAGCCGTGTTCAAAGCGAAATCAAAGCTCAAAAGAAACATTTCAAATGTTATGAACATGTGGATTTTGAGACGATAAAAGTTCAACAACTCAAATGTTTGTGGTTGATAAAATTCAGTTGTAAATTAAACGACCAAAACCATTTTTGGGTCGAATATATATTATAAAACAGCCTGAGATTCATTAGAAAAATAAACAGAGCAAACACCTCTTCTTTCGTTTTTAACTTTTTGTAAATACTTTGAACCCATCCCTCTAGTTCCTTACGCTTTCTTTCAATTTCAATGGAAGTCAAATTTTCCTGTAAATAAAATAAATGCAATGATATATTTGATAAAAACTCGTCCTCAGTAGACTTAAAAATAATTGAGCCACCGCCAAATTTAAGTTAGTTTTGTTCAAATTCTCTCAACGTTGTGCAAATGCTCGTAGATTTTTTAAAATCAAGATATGTGCACAGTCAGGGCCGTATTTTCCATTACGCAAGACAGGCTGAAGCCTCGATATTTAATTTTGCATTATCATATTTCAATTTTTAGTTGTTTTTTAAAATTGAAAACTTGTTCCACATGTAAGCGGGTTGAAATTTTTCTAAATCTAATATTTATTTAATTTTTTAATCAGAATAATAATTTGTGTCCAAAATATTACACTTTACATGGTCAAAAATGCTAAATACGGTCGAATTAATGAATGTCGGAATTAGGGCCTTCACCTTCAAAACGAAATATGTCATTTGAAATTGATTGAACATTATTGATCCTAATAATAACTATATTTTTTGACATAAAAATTGAAATGCCGATGTTTAGCTATACTGGTTATAAAATATATTTCGAAATAATGCAAAAACAATATGGTGGTATGTATAGTATAGCCCGCTTTATACGTCACAAAATTACGTTCAAAATCCAGTTACGTTGACTCACCGCTATTAAGAACCGATTTGCTTTGATGCATTCATGTTGAATGTTGGTTTCATCAGTTTTTGTCAATCTATGCGTAAGAGGTTCAAACACAGTAAAACATTGGACACGGTCGATGTAATTCTTTAATTTTTGAGACATTTCAGCTTTCTTCCTTCGCTCTTCGGCTTGCCTCTTTGCCAACTCAGCTTTTTCTAACTAGAAATGTTCAATATTCATTATCAGTAATGGTTGAAAAAATACAATTTTTTGAAATGTTGTCTTAAATAATATTAAAGTTATAATATTAAAGGTAACAAACAGGTTTAAGAAAAGTAAAACTGCCTCAACTTAAATGTAGCAAGCACCGAAATGAAATACATTTCAAAATAAATCACCCCACCGTGTCAATTCGTTCCAACTTTTTGTACACATGTTCAATTAGATTACACAGATCTGAGTATTGGACTTCTAGTTGGTTCGTATCTGAATTTTCCTGAACAACAAAAACCAAATAAATCAATTATATAATGTGAGCAACTGTTTTACCAAATTGCTGAGTTTACTTTAGAGTATCGTATTTGTTCCATGCCTGGTTACATATTACTTTTAGGTATATAAATATTTCACACTTTCACCATGACTTCTTTCTTGTACAGATAGTTGTACTGTTTTGGGGATTATTTGCATGCTATCCAATTTATTACAACCTGAACTAATGGATAGTATTGCATTTTAGTCGAGATTTTATCTTGCGATTCATAGTAAAGTCTTCTAATTACTAGGTAACAACTGCTTGTAAACTGCGAAGTCAACGTCTGAGATGAAACAATAACGCGATATTTACCTCGATGTGTCTTTCTGCAATGTCACATTGGCCAAATATTAACCCCAAATCTCCTTCAGTCAATCTGTTCCTGAACTGTTTGAATACAACCTGCGACCTGGCATCAGAAATGTATGCTCGGAGATTGTTGATTACTCCAGCGCGTTTTCTAATCGCTTCTACTCGCTGTTGTTCACGCTCAGCTTCGACCTTTTCCAAAATTAAATTTAATAGAGTTTTTACATGAAATGACCAGTTAATATAAATAAAAAACGATTGTAATTGTAAGTCATCGCAATATTTGAGATGGGGATTTGTAAAAAAAAAGTCGCATGCGAGCAATAAGTTTACATATTAATGATTACCATTGTTTTGAATAATTTGCTCTTGCTTACCTATCTATGGTGTACTTAGAAATACAGAAAAAAATAATATTTACTGATATATAATTCAATTCAGAAAAAAAGATGTACCATTCTTTCAATGAATGAAATATGTTATTGCTGTATTTCCGTAATTGCTACCAGTTTAAAACATGTAAACGTCTTCCCAGTTTTACACTTATTTGACCCAGAACACACAAATTTAATTTATTTTGAGCCGAAATTATCAAAACATATATTCGCAAATAAAGCTTTCGCACAAAATTGCAGGCATGGTGCAAGACATTTAAATACCGCAGGTAGTAAAAACTCACCTCTATTTTTCTTGCCTGTAACGAATAAAAAATATCATTGACTTTTTTCTGTAAGTTATCAAACTCTAATAAAATTCTTTCGCCAGTGATTTGATGCTGAAATAAATTAATATCAATATTATAAATAAAGTAACTTGTCAACTAAATCAAATCTTTTTGTAGGTTTTGAATGGGAAGAAATATTTACCGTGACAATGCGTTCAATTTCGACCAACGAAATTCAGTACACTTTTTCTTATATAGCCTAAAATTGGCATTTGATGAAGCTAAAAAGTACGTCTACATAGTATGCTCTAGGACCTAGGTTGTCGATTACTACGAATCGGTGTAAAATATGGGGGACTTAATCGACCAGTTCACTTGGTAACCGTGATTCGAATTATTAATTTCCTTAACTGCCTTACGTAATTTTCATTAATCCATTTGAATACATTCGTGCAATGCTTGAATATTGTATCAATGCACTGGACAATTGTATTGTCAGTTCCTCTTTCAGCTTCCAGAATTTTACAAACATCATCAATGTAAACGTCTACAGCAGTTCGGGCTTGCTGTCGAAATATTTCTTCTGCCTGAAAAATTAAGAGGTGGATCAAAAATGTGAAACAAAGGAACATCGCGTTTGTGAAAACGTAACATTGGGTCATTCCCACTTTTCGAATCAGAGATTTTCTTTATGGTACTTGGCACCCTGTGCATCCCCATTTCAAATTTCTCAATTGAAACCCATATTCAGCCTCACATCCCATGTGCTGCATATTAATGTGAAACACGTAACAACGAAAACTCGGAATGAGAATGAATAAAATTTTTATTTATTTTTTGTAAATGCGAGTGACTCTAATTCATGAAACGACATACGTCCAAAGATGCAAGCTTTGTTGCATGTAAATTTCAAATTGAAATTTTAAATGCAATTTGTATATTTTCATCTTACCTCCTTTTTGCTTGCTTGCATTTGGTCATAAGTATCCTCAATTGTAGTTCGTAAATTACGCTGCTCTGATATAATGGTTTCGGAGGTAATTTGATTCTTAGAATATATATGAGGAATGTTAAGCTTTAATAGCATATAATTTTATATTTCTGTAGCTTCAAGCAAATAATGTCATAATAAATATCAAAATAAAAATATTCACAAATATTTCAACATCATATTTTAGGGTGTTATATATTCCCTAATGAGCAGTGGCATCTACCGACATATATGAACCATGAGTACTACTTTTGCTCTCAAATGTTGAGTACAAGTCGCAGCAACTTTTGGAATTCGGGTTTCAAGTCCGAGTCACAGCATCGCTACACTACCAAAACATAAGTCGCTGCAGTTTCGAGTCACAAATCAAGTCCGAGTCATAATAGATTTCATAAACAATAGTGAAATTAGTGGATATGAGTCACTTGGCCACTTTGAAATTTGAATTCCATAATTACGTTTATTTGAGCTTAATCGAGTCAACGTAAGCATTAAAAAGTGACTCAAGTCGAGTCAATGACTTGATTCTCCTAAACGATAGTAAGTGGCTACTTGCTACTTTTCAATCAATATTATGTTTTCTTTTGGCGGAAACTTTTTGTTTTTAGTAAATTAACACAAAAGAAAGTGACATTGACACTTCCATCTCACATCGTTCTGTTTAGATGACTCTGATTCTTTGGAAAAATTAGCCCAAGCTCAACTCAAGCACACTCACTCAAAAAGAAATTTAATTTTATTAAGGAGAGTTATATACTATATTGAATTAATTTTACACTTACATATTGCTTCTTAACCCACTCCAATACTATTTCGCAGCTTTTTGTAATCATATTGATATGCGGTCTTGCAAACTCGTCATTTTCCTCATCAGTTGCGATCTTTGTTTCAACTTCGTCGATGTAATTACATAGATCGTCGAATGCTTTCTGTCGAAGAATCGCTTCTGCTTCCTTTTCCTTCAAAATTATATTCAGTAACCACTAGTTAAATACCCCGCCACACATAAAATACATTTAATGTGACTAAAGAGTTCAAAAAAAGTAAAAATGGCGTTTAATAGTGAAGAGAGGCGAGGAAAACAAATACTGGCTATTGAGCAGCAACATACCTATGCTATTATGCTTAACAATAATTAATATTATCATAAAAAATCGAACAATGAAATAGCATGACAATGAATATTAAAAAAGTATATTTCAAAGTAAGTCGAGGCGACATGAATATTCAGAAGACGCCGATACAAAAAGAAACAAAAACGACTACGTGCACCAATATGCGAGTAAAACCATCCAGCCACATTCAACTTGTTTATTGACAAACGTGTACAATGATAAATTATATAGAAGATAAGTTAGTTCAAAGTTAAAATCCGTAATTAAAAGTATTGACAAACTTGTTTCATTTTTCTTATATTTTGTTTGATTTCTCCAACAGTATCTTGCAACTTCTCTTGCATGGATTGAATCGATTCTACTGAAGTAGCCTGTTCAAATAGTTACATTCACTGTTAAGACTCACTAACAGCATTACCACAGATCAAGCTTACTTAAGATTAGAATTAAAAAACAGAGCAATGCTTCAAATATATTACCATGCAGTTTACGATGCCTCTAAAGAGGGCCTGTAATTTACTAAAAAGATCGACAGATAAGCAGAGCACAGGTGGAATACAAAAAGTTCTTATCAATTCAAATAAAACGTTAGAATGATTGATTAAATATCGCGTCCCATAGGACTTGGAGAATATTTCTAAAAAAATTAAAAATAATGGACTTCAAGAACAAGGCAACAACAACACTACAATGACAAAATTACCACAACAAGAATCGAAAAAAACGATGCATATGTAAACTGTGTATCCAACTATAAGAGTATATTATGATGAAAAATTGGCATTAACGAATTGTTTTAATTTAAGCAATGCTGTGGCTCACTTCAGATTGGAGCCATTCTTTAGTTTCATTGCATAAAGCGTTCAGTGTATTTTCATATTCAGTTCCAGCAATTTGTTCTGATTCACACATCTGACGAATTGAATCTAGATACCCCATGAGATTATCACGAGCCTCGGTCAGCTTTCTTTCTTCTTTTGCTTGCTCTTCCTTTTCTGCTTCAATGGCCTGTGTTACACATCAGAAAACAACTGAATTTGTGAGTGTTTTTAACACTTGTTCTAGAATCTTAATGAGGATAATAGCGCGTATAACGTAACGCGGATAACGAGTAAGATGAGTAATGGGTAATGCCATAACCAAAAATGAATGTTCGATTAAAGTAAGAATTGCTTAAAGAGTAAGAAGATTCGGTTAACGATTGAGATGCCTAAAATAAGTAATTTGATATATCAAAAAAGACTCAGATGTCATTTTTATTGCTTGAATAAGACAAATGCTGGATCTTTAGATCTGGAATCACTATTGTTAGTTGTACTTGCTGATAGGATAGCAAGCACTAGTACTGCAAGAATCTGTGTGGATGCAAAGCATAGTTGCATAAAACATTGAACCGTCTCCAACCACCCTCCTAGACATTCACCTGTATCTTTTGTTTTAATCCACTCCAAAGGTTTTTAAGAGTCGCCTCCACTTCAATAACTTTTGATTCTAGTTCTTCTACAGTGATGGTTTTCTGAAAAATGTTGTAATTGTGTGCACTTACCCTGGAGCAACAAAACGTTTTAAATATGCTGATTCAATCACCGCCAAGTGTTCTAATCTTTAAATTTAATATTAGCAGTTTAATACAAAATTTACCTTTGTTTGAAAATTTGCCCAAAGCAAGGTTTCGCTCACTCACTCAGAAAAAAAAGAGACTGCTTTCTTGTGCAAAGTTAAATGGCGCTCACTGAAGTGTATTATTTAATGAGAAAACTTAGCTTTTTAAACAAAGCACTAGGTGACCACCCACTGATAGGAAGAGAGTCATTATGTATTTGAAAGAACATAATGTTTCATGGCAGATATAATTTACAATTGTCACGCTTACTTGACTCCTTTGAAGCCAATCTTCGACTTGGTTACAAGTACGTTTCATGTTTTCGATGTATTGAGAAAAGGCTTCGCCGAGATGTCTGTTCGTTATTTGCGTACGAACTGAATCTAACATTTTGCGAAGGTTTCTGTGTGCTTCATCCCACTGTTTTCTTTCCTCTTCTTTTATTTTATGTGCGGCCATCTGAATGAAAAGTGTATAAAAATAATATTCAACTGATTTTCTTAGAAATGGAGTATTATTTTGTGAATCGTAACAGGTAGGTAACTACTTCTTTGTCTATATCTTTGTGTTGATGAGAAGGCAGGGGTCGATTAGAATAGGATTTCAAATAGATGAAATTACAAAGAGATATATGTATGATTTAACATCTAGACATTACTTTTTAATAAATACCTGAATGGGCTTTTCTATATTATATATAGGGTGTCTATTAAGTCTTAATATATTTTCAAAATTGCAAAGGGAATTTATCGACAGCGTGTATAGTTTTGGCCCTTGCAGATGTATTAAATGAAGTAAAAATACTTAGATAATTAAAGATTTAAAAAAACAAATCTGGTTAAGATAAATTGAGAACTGACTTCATAACAAAACTGAAAATGTGAGGCTTTATGGAAACCCTGTAATTTTGAGATGATGTGTGTAATATAATATAAACAAAACTTCAGGCCTATAAATCGATTTTGAAATATTCTGACATGATGTAAAACGTAATGAAATGATTACCTGAGCTTTGCTCTGCAGTTTTGTCACGATACTTTGGATAAAACTTTCGAATTCTGCTCTTTTGTCTTCGATTTGTTTGATATAAAGGTTTCCCTGGAGATAGAATGTTCACTTATATACCGTATTACCATGCTGAATATTCAACTCATATGTTTAGTAGAGACAAAAACTAAAAATACTTTTTTTTTATAGAGGCACCAGAAAGACGCCGTCTTTCTTACTTTTAAGGGAAGTTACCTATAGCACGGGCTGTTTCATCTAAGAGCAACTAAAATATCAAAACCAACTGAAGCCAGACAGTTATGGAGGCACATTTTCCGAGTAAATTTCAAGTCAGACGAACAAGAAAAAATCTACGTTGTTGCAAATTCCACGTGACTAAAGATAATGATAAATGTTGCACTTGTCAAACTTGCAAGTGGATTAATTTTAACATTCATATTTTGTTTTTTAATATTTCACAATCAAAAATAGCTCACAATATTCTCGTTGATGAATGATTGCGCTGATATACATTTGGCATTGATTTCACTTATATCAGTAGACGTTTGATATGTTTCATATTGAGCGAATTCTTTGAGATCTTTAACGGACTGAATGTGCGACTGGAAATTCTGGATTGCTTCTTCCAGCTTTTGTTTTTGATCCTCCTGTTAAAGATAATATAGTTTTGAAGCAAGAGAGTATCACTTTAAAGTGCTATTCCCTATTCTTTTCTGCTCTGTATTTGCACATTAATGGCCTCGTACCGACTTTTTTGTCTTCTTCAGGTACTAAAAATTAAAATCGATTGTTTTAGCAATGGCGAAAAAAAACTTTTTTCTCAACAACAACAACAAACAAACAACTATATTAACAAGATTAACAACGGAAAAACTCACGCAAGGTGATCTATATGGACACTTCGTTAACAATTAAGTACAGCGTTGATAGTAAATAAACAAATCACAATACCAGCAATAGCAGTTTGAAATAGCGTATGAATTTATGTTCCTAATCAGCACTTGAATGCCCTTAAAAGGCTATTGTGATATTATGGTCCCCATCACTTAATTCCAATAGAATATTTTCAAAAAGTGGAGAAATGTACAATATATATAAGAAAAGATCATCAACTTTGCATCTTGTGTTGTCATTTTTATGTCTGTTAACGCTCAATCGTAACGAACTATTATAAACACAAATATGGCAGAATAAGGGACGCTTAAACTGAAATCAAAATGTTATCTAGCTAGAGTATGAAATTCAAATTCCGTTTTCCTGCGGGTACTTTTCCATATTATATTTCAATTCATTCACCTCGTCTCTATCTTTAAGTTTCTTTACTATATCAGTCACAAAATCTTCAAATTCTATTTTTACATCCTGAATTTGTTCGACGCTGAGCTTTTCCTGAAAACAGTTAATTTTATTATTATTATAAATTATCTATTTCCATGATATTCTATATAGTAACCAGTGTTGGCAGTTTGGAAAAACTATAATTATTTATTGAAACAGACAAATCAAAATATCTACGACTCCGCTTGTAATCAACATTAGGAAGTCTTTATTTCAGTTAAATGATAAATGATGATGAAAGTGTGTCGTGATCCAACAGAAATTTGCATTTTCAATTGTATTTACCTCGTTGTTGGTGAGTATTTCCTTCATTGTAAGGCATTTCGCATTGATTTCTGTTTTGTCATCAGAAGTTAGGAACTTGGTATACGCTTTGAATTCCGCGTGTGATTCGACTGATCGAATATATTGCTGGAAATTTTGAATAACCTCGTTTTTCTTCTGTTCTTTTTCTCTTTTCTTTTTTGTCACAATGTCCACGAGCTAATAAGAATGAATATTGTTAGACCAGAACAATTATTTCTCCGCCGAGTTAATAGAAAGAAACCCAAAATTGCAAGATTTCTGACGTTTTAGCGAGAAAAATGCATTTATAAATATTTATTAACTTGATGTATTTATTTATTGTTTCAAATGCAAAGTAGAATATACATGTGCTGCAAATTAAATGTTTCATTCTCGGTGTAGCATTCCTGTTCCTATCCAATAAGACAAGATCATAGATGAAAGAAAAGCCATATATGTGCAGCTCAAATCGTCTATACTGCATCTAATCGTCTAAGAAATTCGATCACTAAATGTAATAAATAAGATTTTTACCTGAGATTTTTGCTTTAGAGATTTCAACATACTTGCAACAAAATTTTCAAATTTTAATCTATTTTCTTTCACTTGGTTGATGTCAAGGCTTTCCTAGAATAATTTTTATTTTCAATTTTTAATCTGATTTTCGTTTGTAAATATATTTCTCAATGAAGACATGGTTGTTTGTTATAAAAATGTACAATTTATAAATTTATAATTACATTCGTACTCGCGTAGTATGTGGAAACGGTGGAGAACGCCGGAACGTAGTATGTGTACCAGGTTAGGGTTAGGCCACCATTTCAGGTACAAATACTACAAGAGTCACTTGGCTTGTCCCCGAACTCGTATTAGAACTAAAATAAAGAAAGTTGGAATAAAATTAAGGCCTAACCCTGGCCTGGTCCACATACTACGTTCCGGTATCTGCCATCTTGGTTCACATACTGCGGGAGTACCGTTTTATTTTCCGAAATTAAATATTCAATTTGTAGTTTATTCCTAATCTTATTTTTAATAGATATTCCAAAATACCTAGTATAACTTTAATAAGCAACGATGTTATTAAAACAATAATGATAAAAAACATTTAAGAAACGTATGACTTGCATTACAATCGATGCTATGTATTAATTAATAGATAAGATTGCTGTTGTAAATATGTAAATTGACATATTTCCATTCAAATTTAATGAAATAAAGTAAATTTCCCTAAAACTTACCCGATTTGTGCTCAAAAATTTGTTCATTCTCAAACACTTATCATCGACATCCTTTTTGTCATCAGACGACAAAAACTTATCATATTCAGCAAATGGTTCAAGATTTTGAACTGATTGGATATACTGCTGAAAATTCTTGATTGCCTTGTTTAGTTCGTTTTGTTTTTCTTGTTGCCTTTCCTTATAGGCCTGGTAAATTTAGATTTCCATTTACTATATTATGTGATAATATTTTTGGAAACAATTATTTGTATATGAATTACACCATATTTATTTGAAAGTCTTGTAGAAGCTTTTTTTCAGAAATGCTGGTTCACAGATCATATTAATCTTACATAATATAATTCATAATTATTTAAGTCTTCTCTGTACCTGAAAACCGATACCTTATACCTATATGTAATATACCCACATACCTTATATTTTTGTTTTAGACTGTCCTTCAGACTTTTCACAAAATCAGCAAATTCATCTCTCTTGTCTTGTATTTGTTGGATATCGAGAGTCTCCTGTTATTGTAAATGATTAGGTTAATACATGTGTAGTTTTTATAAGCTATGAACATAGTTATTGCATTACAAACTATGTTATATGAAATAATGAAGATAAAAATGTTTCCTTTAAATATGTAAATTGAAATATATCTATTTAATTTTAATGAAAAGAAAAGTTTTTAGAAGACTTACCGGATTTGTGCTCAAAAATGTGTCCATTTCGATACACTCATCATCAATTTCTTTTTTGTCATCAGACGACAAAATTTTCCTGTATCCAGCAAACTCTTCCAATGCATAAACTGATTGAATAAACTTCTGAAAATTCCTAATCGCTTCGTCTCTCTCATTTTCTCTCGTCCTTTGCTTTTCAAGGTGATGGGCCTGTAAATTGGTTTTTGTAAACATTATATTAAATTGTCTTTATCCACTGTGCACCTTAAGTTTTGTAGAGTATACTTTAAATTTTATTCAACTTGTTTGTTATATTTTGTTCCAGAAATATTTTCACTGTTAAAAGAATATCGAGAATCAAGTAAGGTAGGAGATTGCGCACATTTGAAGTATACAGATATGCTCTGTTGCAGTGGCGCAGCCAGGGGGTCGGGGTCGAACTACACCCCTCCCCCAACCTTTTGAATTTTCTGAAAAGTGAAAAAGTTGCCGATAACACGTGCAATTGCCTTCTGCTAAAATCGCCGTTCGTTTTCATCAATGCGGCATGTTATTTATGCCGTGAACGCCCTTTACATTGGTGTTTATTCTCTTCAAATCACAAATTTGTGCCGCGGGAACAATGATAAATATTTTTTTTTGTACCCGCACGGAAATGTGAAAACTGAAAAAGCGTGCAATTGCCTTCTGCTAAAATTGAATGTTTTCATCAGCGTGTTATTTAGGCCGTAAACGCCCTTACGTCGGTTTTTATTCTTTCTAAATCATAAATTTGTGCCACGATAAACATGATAATTATTTTATTTTTGTACTTTGCACGGAATTGTGAATTCGTGAGTTATTATACGTTCATCGGTGGCGAGGTTCTAAAGACAAAAGAAGGAGTAAAAACCCGCGATCTAAATTTGATTGAAAAGCGCATTATAAAATACTGAAAATAAAACCGTAAACAATATAAGTTTTGTTGAGTCCCGCGACAGTCTAAAAACGCTTTTCTAGTCGCAAAATCGCAAACTTTCGTGTGCCTACGGCGCACATTATGTCAGGAGGTGTGAAAATACACCATAGAAAATTCAACTCAATTACCTGAGCTTGGTGCAGCCTTTTTATTATACTTTCAACAAACTTTATGAATTTTGAATGTTCTTCTTGTATTTGATTAAGTGCGAGCTTTTCCTGTAAATAATCAATTTATTTCGATTATTCTTTTTCTTTTCCATACATTCTCTATTGCTCCCCGACTCACTGATTTAAAAATTTGGAAAACAGTTCTGGCTCACTAATGATAAATAAGATAGTTAATTTCAAATATTTTGATTCAAATATTTTGAAATTAAACATTAATGGAACCATTTGTATAAACATAATTTATCGAATAACATTTGGTTTAAATTGAGCAGATAAAACTGTGACTCGCATTTGTAAAATTAAAAAAAAAAAGTGTGATTGAAGAATCACGGTGCACAACAAGACAAATGTGTTTCTGTAACGTTCGCCCAACCAAAACAGTCTTCCCCAGACAAATATAATTTAATTGTAACAAGTCAAGCGAATGCATGCGTTTTTGTGTCAGTGTGCAACAAGAATCACGATTCACTTCGAATAGGCATGTTCAGTTTTGTTCCGGTATGCTTTGATATACGTACTATACTAATAATTAATTTGTTACCGTTTGCGTCACACTTACATGGCCCGCCGGTCTAAGTGGGCAAGGTTTTTGGACCAGGGGCCACCCATGGACTCACTCTAGCCCTTTACATGGTGCGATGCTCAATGTTTTTTTTTTTTTTGCAACACAGTTAATGTTGTTCATGAAATTAAACTTTTCACGTCATACTCACATGACAGTCTAGGTCGGAGTACTTTTTGACCCCTGGTTCAAATACCCTGTCCATCCCTGGTCTAGCCTAATATCGCTTTTTATATTTCACTTACGTCTTACCGCACTCTATAATAAAAGGTATACACAGTTGCAGAATGAATGTTAGTTTTGAAACTTGCCAAGGGTAAACAATAGAATGATTGAGAACCCTTAGTTTAAGTATTTATTACTTATATATCTTTTTATAGATTGAGATCCAGTCATCAAAGATGGATTAGAAATTTAACATATGAACTCACAGGATTCGCACTAAGAAATTTCTTCAATCTAATACATTCTTCTTTTATATCATCTTTGTCATCAGGCGTCAAAAACTTTTGATAATCTCCGAATTCAGTATGCATTTCAACTGAAGGAATATATTCTTGAAATTTTCGAATGGCTTCATTTTGCTCCTTCTCTTTTTCCCTTTTCTGTTTTAGATATGCGTCCTGTGTTAAACATATCCAGTTGTTTACTAATCTATCTATAAATTACAGTCAGATTAAGCGTTGAAAATACAGTTCAACGGAAAGTCCCAGTCAGTTCAGGGCCGCGGCGTCGACGAAATATTACATTCGGCTTCAATTCCCGACTCAGAGTAGAAAAAAATTGTTTCTGATTCCGAGTAACAAAAACTTTGGCATATGCAAGACTTTCTCGATAAACTGGTAAACGCTTAATCAACATAATTTTTTTATTTAAAATGACTTCGACGTCATGGTCATTATCCAGTACCTATTCAGATGAGAAATACATGAGCGGTTTTACATTAGTCACTCATGCTAAGTGTAAGTGATAGCCACAATCAAAATAAAAGCGGTAACCATTAAGCTATTAACCCTGCGTCGGAAGAAATCTACCAATTGTTCTGTACCATCAATAACGTAATAGATGGGGGTTTGTGAAGCGCATGACATACGCAGCTGACGCGAGCATTTAAAACGCTTAGAAGCATTATGGATCCAACAAAGAAACAACAAGTTTTTTAGAACATAGTTTGATACGTGAAAACTGTACTGGTTACAATAATGTAAAAATTATATTCTTTTTCAAAATAGGAATCAGTGACTGCTTGGAATCAACCTTGTACGTCTGTAGGTGCGAAAACATCTGAAATTGACTCATCTCAATTACCTGATCTTGGCGCAGCTTGTTCAATATTCTTGCAACAAACTGTTCCAATTTTGTATGTTTTTCGTGTATTTGTTTGAGGTTGAGATTTTTCTGCAAAAAGAGATTTTCATTTAATTTGTACTTTTTCTTTGTATACGCATTTTTAAGGATATTTCACATGGTGTTTTAAATGTTGAGCATGGATTGTTTGAACGTAGTGGGGTTTGGAATATACCAATCAAAATACCGCTGGAATGATAATCAAGGGGCCATAATTATTAAAAACACTGGGAAATGGGCCACAAGCCATAAAAGGTTTGGAACCACTGCCTTATACCTTTGTTTCTGTAAATCAGTGGTTTAAAACTTTGCTCAAACATTGTTCTGCTTTACTACTGAGTGAGTGCTCTCAAAAAAAAAAGAGAAAAAAAAAAGGGGGGGGGGGGATATGTATAAGTACAAACCAGCAAACTTACCGGATCGTACTCAAAGAATTTCTCTGTTGCAGAACATTTTTCACGAATTTTGTTGTGGTCTTCTGGTGTCATAAACCTTTCATACTGCTTGAATACTTCGTGTTGTTGGACAGAACGAATATAATCACGAAAACTTTGAATTGCAACACGTAGCTCTTGTTCTTGCTTTCTTTTCTCTTCCTGTTATTATTAGGAGAAAATGTTTTGAAAACTAATTCCGTTAAGGGATGTGAGCCGGGTTGGTTATGAGATATTTTCAAGAGAAACGTTCATTCCAAGCATGACTCCGAAACATTTAAGCAGGCAGTCCCATCTCCAGACTTCACATTAGAATAAAATTTGATTAGTACTACAGACAACTGGGTGAAACAAAATTGTCTGGTATTTCCAATTATATTATTGGTTTAATGGTATGATTTCGAATGGTAGATCCCAACCACTAGATTGGCAAAGTTCCTACCCCGGCTACCACTCCGTAAGGATCAAAAGTGCGAAGTAAGCTAAAAATCCCGATTTCAGACCCCACGTCAACCTCCTTTAAAACAAGCAATGCTAAAAAATAAAGGTTTTTACAAAAATGGGATGAGTGGCTACTTACGCCGAACCATATTTGGTCTAGATATGCATGAACGCCTCTTACACAAAAATTTCAAAAGCACCTGAGCTTGGTTTTCCAGCAGTCTATTTGATATACTTTCAACAAAACGTTTGCACTCTGAGTGTTGTTTGTGAATTTGTTCGAGGTTTTCCTGTGAATAAACGGTTTATTTCTATATTTTTTTGCCACCCAAAACACTAATTCGAAAATGGTACAAAACATTTCGATAGTTCTTATTAAGCCAAAAACATGAGAGAGAAAATTTGATTATAAACCAGCAAACTTACCGGATTGCCATCCAGAAATTTCTCTGCTGCAGAACATTTTCCACCAATTTCGTTCTGATCTTCACATGTTATAAACTTTTCTTGCTGCCTAAATACTTCATGTTGTTGGACAGAACGAATGTAATCACGAAAACTTTGAATTGCGTAATGTAGCTCTTGTTCCTTCTTGCTTTTCTCTTCCTGGTATTTATATGAGAGCATGTTTTGAAAACAAATTTCGTTAAGGGGTGTGAGCTGGGTTGGGTATAAGCTGTTTTAAAGAGAACGTTAATGCCAAGCATGATTCCGAAACATTTAAGCAGGCGGTTCCATCTCCAGACTTCACATTAAAATAAAATTGAATTAGTACTCCTGACAAGCGGGTGATAAAATTATAGCTGCTAGAAGTTTGGTACTTCCAATTCCAAATATTTTTTGGATTTGATGATATAATTTTAAAAGCGGATCCCGACTATTAGGGGTGAAAGTTCCGTCTGCAACTTTATAGAAGAATCAAAAGTTCGACACAGGTTTAAATTCCTCAGGTTGCAGGTCTCGTCTTCAGATGCCACGCCGACCACCTTTCATAGGGTATAATACGCAATGCCAAGACATAGAGGTGTTTTCGAAAGTCGGATCAGTGGCTACTTTGGCAGATCCTTATCTGGTGAGGAGATGCATAAAGGCCCCATACAAAAATATTTTAAAAGCATTTACCTGAGCTTGGTTTTTCAGCTTTTTCAACATACTTTCAACAAAACTTTGGAAGTTTGAGTGTTGTTCGCGTGTTTGTTTGAGATTTTCCTGTAAACAAGCAGTGGATCCTAACTTTATTCAAATATTCTTCTGCTTTACTAATGAGTGAGTGTTTTAATCATATTTTCTTATAAAAACAAAAGAATTAAAAAAAAGGAAAAGTATATGTCTAATTAAAAGAACTTAGGCATATGCTAAATATCATACCACATAAACCAAGTCAATAGTTTCTATTAGGCCAGAAAAACAAGAGTGATAATTTGAGTATAAGTAAAACAGTAAAGTTACCGGATTCTCATCAAGAAATTTCTCTGCTGCAGCACAATTTCCACGAATTTCGTTTTGATCTTCACGTGTCATGACGGTTTCATACTGCTTCAATACTTCATGTTGTTGGACAGAATCAACGTAATCACGAAAACTCTGAATTGCGTCATGTAGCTCCTTTGCTTGCCTACTGTTCTCTTCCTGGTATTGGAACGAAAGGATGTTTTAAAAATTCTGTCGAGGGCTGTTGACTAATTTTTCTATAAGTAGTTCTAAGGAGAAGTGCTCATTCCAAGCATGACTCCAAAACATTCAAGCAGGCAACTTCATCTCCCGACTTCGCAATAAAATAAAATTGTATTAGTGCTCCTGACAACCGAGTGATAAAATTTTGAATTTCAGAAGTCTGGTATTTCCAAATACTTTTTTTAGTTTGATCATATGATTTTAAATGCGGATCCGACCATTAGGGGTTAAAGTTCCGTCTCCAACTTTACACTAAGGCCAAAACAAAGAGATTTTCCGAAAGTGGGATCAGTGGCTTAGAGCTTTATTTGGTGAGAAGAAGCATGAACGCCCTATACGAAAATATTTTAAATGCATTTACCTGAGCTTGGTTTTCCAGCCTATTTGACATACTTTCAACAAAACGTTTGAACTTTGAGTGTTGTTTGCGTATTTGTTCGAGGTTTTCCTGTAAATAAACAGTTCATTTCCATAAATGTTTTACATTTTCTCTTACATACTTATTTACTTTTCATCCAAAACACTAATTTGAATTGGCACAAGCAATTTTTCCGAACGAATTTTTAATGGAAAACAGTTTTGGAACACTTATAATAAAACAGGGTTCAATTAACGACCAGCCCGCGCGTACATTAAGTTTAGATTTTCATTTGTAAAATCTGAAAAACAAAACATATGCGTATGGACACAAATGTGTTTTTGTATAGTTCGTCAGACCGGAATCAAACTTCACTTCAACAAGCATAATTTAAGACTGAGAGAGGAAAGTTTCCAACCACATTTGTGTTAATATACAAGAAGACGTTTAAATGACTCAGAATAGTCATCTTTATCCATCACCCCAGATCCTTCACCGCAAATACATAGAAGCAGGATATGTAGTAAGCAATGTAGAAACCAAATCAATTTTATATTAAGCAGAAGAGTAGGAGTGATATTGTAGGCAAGTACAAACTAAGAATCCTACCGTATTGTCGTTGAGAAATCTCTCTACTGCGGCACAATTCCTATGAATTTTGTTTTGGTCTTCTGATTTCAAAAATCTTTGATAATGCTTGAATATTTCATGTTGTTTGACAGAACGAATGTCATCACGGAAATTTTGAATCGCGCCACGTAACTCTTGTTTTTTCTTTCTTTTCTCTTCCTGGTATTAAAATGAGTTTATGTTTTAAAACCACTTCCATTGTGCGATGGGGTTGAGTTGGTTATGAGCTTTTTTGGAGAGAACAGTTTGATCCGAACATCACATTGAGACATTCAAAAAGCTATAATCCGGCTATAACTACTACTTTCGACACCGAGTGGGAAAAAAATAGATTTAAAACACCAGTTTCTGACCTTAAAATGAAATTTTTAATTTACGATGTTTTTATTTTTAAATATTTTGCCCATAATTCCCGGCTATCAGAAATATAAAATTTTATTTCTGTACTCCTACTCCGGATAGTTCAAACTTTCGACCCCGGCCTCACATGAATGGTGTTAAAACTGCACATACATTTCAAAAAAAAATATCAGATCTTCAGCAAGAAATTTACATTTAACAGTTAATAGTCGGAGACATTCCGATTTTTTAAGAACTTTGGCTGTTCGGCATCTTTTGGATTCGTGTTTTTCATTTTTATTCAAGATTATTACAAAGTAATTCCTTTTGAGTAAGTTTACCTGGTATTTATGTTCCAAACTTTCTATAAGACTTTCAATAAAATCTTCAAGTCTTCGTCTTTCGGCATCAATTGTTCCAATATCGAGGTTTTTCTGTAAATTAATTGTGAAATTAATATTCTTTGTGAATTAAACAACACGAAAATATGTAAAAATGTTACCTGAATCATATTTCTTGCATTATTGAGCAGCAAATTGTGCTTGAAAGTGCATTTGTGGGAAAAGAGTGAAAAACCTACCTTTATTTATTTCCTGATAACAGTTTTTTTATTGCGCACTCAGCTAACATCCGTGGCCACGATGTTGCACGCAACCGAAAACAATTGCTCGCTCCTGTTAGTCAGACTATAGTGCCAATCAGACAAGATAGAGAAATCCATGATCCAAAATTGAAAGAACTTTGAAAAGTAGAAGCAATATTTTTGTTTGATTAAAATAAATAAATTCTCCACCTGGTTTTCATTGAGCATCTGCCCCAATTCCTGGCATCTTTTGTTAACTTCATTCTGTTCACCAGATGTCAGCAATGAAGCATAGTCTCCAAATATTTGGTGAGTTTCAACTGAACGAATATAGTTCTGAAAACTACGAATAGCTTCATCTCGCTCCTGGTCTGCAAGCTGTTAAGTTTAGAAAACATTGGTTGGAAGAATCAAAATACTGCAGATTTTAAAAGAATATAACATTCGACAAATAAGTCTTAGCTACCATTAACTGCTTAGTTGATATTCAAACATGTTCTTGAACATTCTAATAAATATGTTTGACAATTAACTTTTCAGCATAATTGGGCTTCAACAAAATGGATAAATACTTTTCCGAGAATCGTGTAACAAACAAAAAAGACCGAACGTGGCCAATTGCTTGGGAATGTCTCTTTAGCGACACCACCTCAAGGAATCGAACGGAATAATACGCTTCTGAAATTGCTATTTCCGAATAATGCCATGAGCAAGCGGTAAGTACCGCCTCTTTGGTTATTTTCACATTCTGAGTGATCGTCACAGCTGAAAATCTATCTTTTAATATATCAAATTATCGTTTCGACGGCCGAGTCTGTACGTGAAACCTTTCTTAGCATTACAGAGAAAGAATAATTGCCATAACCTTGTTGGAATTTTGTGGCCTAGTCGTTAAAAGCGTTGGACTTTTGTATATTGGTGAAAAATTTCAGGATCGAATATCGTGCCCACTACCGTACCCAAGGTGTAATAAATTGGGTGCCGAACCAGAAAGACTTCGGCCCTACCAAACTATAATCGATTTTTTTGTAGTTGCGCTTTCCTCAACAAAGATGAGATAAAAATAATTGATTGAATATTGTTACCTGAGCTCTGTGTTGTAGTCTGTGTAGTATGCCATTAACAAAGTCTTCAAATCCGAGTCTTTTTGACTGTACTTGCTTAATGTTGAAATTTTCCTAAAAGGACCGTATATTTTACATTTTTGCCATAGCAATGGCCGTTTTTGTAAAGGCAACAAATAGATAAATGGTAGTTTTTAAAAATAAATAACATGCTATCACTCATATAATTAAATAAAATGAATTCAATTATTAATTAGATTCCTCGAATATTTGATTCAACATTTTTCTAAATTTTATGTAATACTCTTGGTATAGTTTTGGTAGTTCTGTTACAACGCAAAGCACGGAAAAATAGTAGTTTTTCAAGTATCAAACATGGTATTTGTTAAAGTAACGTAAAAAAAAATTTGCTCTTGTGGAGATGTTAAATATATTGGCTCCAAAGAAGACTTTAAACCAATTAAATGAAACATGGTAATAACTTACTGAAATTTCGTTGAGAAATTGGCTCATATCGAAACATTTATTTTTGATGTCTCTTTCTTCATCAGATGCAAGATATTTTTCATATTTCTGAAATACTCTGTAGTCTTGGACAGATTGAATATACTCTTGAAAATTCCTTATTTTCTCGTTTGTGTTCTGGTTTTGTTCCACTTTACGTGCCTTGACCACAGGCTGTTGTAATATAACAATGTGTCAGTTTGAGACTTTTGTACTGATCAAAACTCACTCAGTCAAGCAACCATGTTTCAAGAGCCGTCCCGAGTCTTACCAAAGTATGCCTTACGTAGCAGTGACAAATTTTTACAATGAAGCAAAGTTATAAAAGATAGATATCTCAAGTGAGTTTAAACTGTACCTGATATGGTTGATTTCCATTCGTTATCGAGTCGAAAAATATTTTCAAGTTCTTTAGTTGTTCTTCCGAATCTTTTTTACTTCGCCGCTTTGAATTGAAAAATATAAATGATAAAAATAACTTTCATTATTTGTGAACAAATAATAATGATATATTATAAATGTGTGTTGAGTACCAAGCCAGCAGGAATGATGGGAGCACACACAGTATAAGTGGTATAACTCGTACAAATGGGACAAGTAGAAGAATGGTACAAGAGGTACACGCAGTACAAGTGTTCAGGTACACACGACATTTTAGAAGCACCTCAATTGGTATATCAATAATTGATACGTTTAAAAAGGGCATATTTTGGAAAACAGGCAAATAACAGTTATGAGAACCTTCTCGCTACTCAGGCATTTTATTGCAGTTTTATTTGTGCACTGTGACGCCGTCATGACTCGATGAAAAAATCAAACAAGATAAAGACGAAAACTACAAAATTTCGGATTGTGGAATCCAGCAACAAAGAAAAGTATGGTTTCAGGAGTGGAAAGTAGTTTGGCAAAAAAAGTGGTGCAGGTGAGAAAAGTAGTGCAAATGGTAAAAGCAGGGCAAATAGTTAAAGTGGCGCAAGTGGCAAACGTAGAGCAAATGGTAAAAGTTATACAATTGTTACACGACATTCCCAAAGCACCTTGTTTTTTTACATCATTATGACTGCGCTAGTATCACCCTCAAAATGTCATATCTTGAGAAGCAGACAAATGTTATTATGTGAGATTTCGGAGTCGACTGGTGTCTTACTTGTTCCCTGATATTTTAAATACAAATTTACCTCATCGCCTCCAAGCCAATTCAAGACACGATCACACTCAGCGCATATTCTTTGTTTGTCTTCTTTGTATTTGGGCGTATTGGCCATTTTCTTGATTCTGTAAGCATACTTCTCAAGATTGTTTCTCGCTTCGCTTTCCTGTCTCAAAATTTCATCGCGTTTGTCAAATTCTTCAACTTCTCGAATCTAAAAATTAACTATTGGTATGAAAAATTTGGACTTAAACACGCTAATTTATTATATCAGCATTTTGTTGTTTTGGGGGGAAGAAAATACATAAATATTACCTTGTATTTCGTATAGTTTTAATAATGGTGGGTTAATATAATTGTAATACAAATTTAAATTTAATAGCAACCTAGATTACTGTAACTTTCAGATACAATCATAGAATTACAAAAGCTCAAGTGTTGAATAAATTCTTTATTTTCGTATGAATGATTAAAAAATTTATGGTTTGTTTTCCTTTAAATCATCCTGTATATGAACCTGAAAAAATTCATAACCGTAACCCGTTAAGTCATGCTTTAATTTTTAAAATGCGTCACCAGAAAGAAAACAACGCGAATTGCAGGCTTCAGATTTCTTCATACAACAGTACAATCTAATACAATACATATACCAGCTATTCTCTCCCTTGTAGTCAAAAGATGTAGCTTATATTACGCCAGTAGTACACTACAAAATATTAGAAACAGGTTCTCATTAGTATCGAACTCACTAATAACAGGCTCCTTCATTTCAAAGATTGTATTTATGTATGTTGGTACTTGAGCTACATTGCCATGGCACGCTCCACATAAAACCTAATACATAACTTTTAAAACACCAAACATAACGCTAGTCACTAGCTGCAGTGCACCTTACCCATTTGCTGTTGGAGTCTTATACGTGCAACATGAAAAAGAACAGATTTGCTAATTGCCACGATATTTCAGGAACCCTGAATCCTACCACTGACTTACGCTTACCTGTTCATTTATTGCATCACTCGGTGTGACTGCAGAAAAATCACTGTCGTTTAATATTTTAAACTCTTCCATCTGAATGAAAAAAACATTTGTTAATAAACAAGTGTGTCGGGCCCATACAGAAAGCACATTTTAAAGGCTGAATTTTTGCACTGGTGTTTAATTTTGTTTTTTAAATAATATTCGAGCCTCAAGGAGAACATCTTACATCAAAATATAATGCGAACTAGATGCTACCACTGCATTTGGACACCAAAATCTTTCTTCTTCACAGCTTACCCGATTTATTACATACTGGGATTGGTGGTCGACGTAGGGTTGAATGACGGGTTTATAAGTTGCAACATCAACAAAACGATGCAATAGGATTTTCACGAATTTATTCAGAGGTAGAGAAAAGCCTGATCACTATGTTTTCACAGTTGATTTAACGTTTCGGGTACCGGCTTGAACTGAGGAAGAAGTCGTAACTAACCAACGTCAACGCGACCACCCCAATATGACGATCATCGCAACAATACCCTCTATTTCTATCACATAGTACAGCACAAGGACTCTAACAACTTTTGTTATGAAACGTTCTACAATACAACAAAGCCCACCTACTTTATTACATACTGAAAGAAGTGGCCGACATATCAAAAGACTAAACCAATAACTGATATAAATGCTGTTCAATAACAGATATTGCCTACGTTATATGGCTCATCTGATTACTTAACACGGAAGCTGCTATAGCAACTCAATATGTCACGATGGATGCCAGTTTAAAGCTTTCATATATATAATATAACAGAACACAGGCCACTTGAAGCACATTTCAGAGACAACATAATTTTTGTGCAAAATTTCCTAAAACTGTTGAGTACAATCATACATGAACAGAATCAACAAGACTTATCAAATACAAATCAACACCAACCTCTTTATCATTAAACAGAATTGCTGCTTGAACTGCGGCACCATAAGCAACAGCTTCGTCAGGATTGATTGTTCTGTTCAAGTCTTTTCCGTTGAAACAGTCTTGAAGAATTCTTCGTACTTTTGGAATGCGTGAAGATCCACCGATCAGGACGATTTCGTCAACCTGGAAGTAAAACGCAGAAATGTTTACTCACTTTTTACACATACGAGCAGGGGTGGGCTAAGTTTTTGGACAAGAGGCCAAAAATGTTACCCACCTAGACTGGTGGCGTGGTGGGCCTTGTAAGTGTGACGTAAAAAGTTACAATTTATGAACAGAATTTTATTTACAGGTTTACAAAAGCAAAAGTGGATTTGGCCCGCGGGAGATAGTTTGTCCGTAAGTTGTAAAGGATCTCGTTCAGAGTGAAAAAAATTATTATTTCTGTACTGGAATTACCAAGACCGCAACAACGGAATAACAACAACATTTTGGTGAGTTAGTGGTTTCTTGCATGGACACGAAAAGGACATATGGATCGTTTTGCTGCATCGTTGTAGCTGTCGTTGTTTGTGAAAAATCACGTTTCTCTTTTACTATTAGATCAATTGCTTTGAATTTCTCAGTGGGTAAAGATTGTAAATTTTGCTAGAAGGCTATTACTTTAATTTGTTTTGGAAATTCTTGTAGGTATTGTGGTTTTTTTCACCATCACTTTTTACGTGATGGTGTCAAAAAAATAAAAAATAAATGGTGCACCCTGTGACGATCGCGTTTCAGCAATCTGGTATTCAGACTATCACTGGTAACGTAAATGATTTGATATTGTTTTGTTTTGTTTTTGTGTCGGACTATTTGAGCATTGCTCTTGTTATTTACCTGATAATGATGTTCTTTGATGAAATTTATTGTTTTGTTGACAATATTTTCAACTCTTTCAAATAAATCTGCTGTTATGGTTTCAAATTGTTCAATCGTTATGACAGATTCAAATGGTTCGTTATTATGGAGATTGTCAACTTGTATTCTGAACACAAATATAAAAAGTTTTTAAGATATTTTATAACAAAGCACCAAACAAGTACCTGTAGCCTGTAGCGGTACTCAAAGTAGCCGTCGCGACGCCCAAGTATGTGTTACCAGGTTGGTGTTAGACCACCATTTCAAGTACAAATACTAAGGGAGTCACTTGGCTAGTTCCCGAACTCGTAATAGAACTAAAATAAGGAAAATTAGAATAAAATTATGTCCTAGCCCTAACCTGGTACATATACTACGTCCTGGTGTCCGCTATCTTGGTGCACATACTACGGGAGCGCCCCATAGGCTGATCGCAACGGTAAACTATCATTGTTTAATATTAAAAGAAACTAAACTCGCAGTATTTTGATCCATCAGGGCCTTCTTAAAATTGTTTGCGCCCCTCAATCTCGCAACCTTGGATCCCCCTGTTTTAGAACATATTCTTATATTTTGTAATAACCATCATTTAGTCGCAGGAACCTTTTCGAAGTTGTCCTAGTTTCCACTGCTATAAAGCAATGGAACATAAAATCTAAAAACATAAAGGATTTACTGACCTGGTACGAACAGTTGACGAGAAATTTTTCTTCGCTTTTTCACAAGCGATCCTCAGTCTATGTAGGATCTTCTTGTTCTCAGATAAATCGATTCCTTTCCGGCGAAAATCGTCAAAAACATTCTGCACCAATTTGTTATCAAAGTCTTCACCTGTAATAAAAGCATATTATAATGTTTTCACTTGGTTTCAATTTTTGATGCGACGTTTATTGAAGTTTTTCACTGCGAACAAGACCTTATACAAGCAGCCACCAATATGGCAAGATCACGGCTGTCGATCCGTACTTGCCCTGTACAAACTGCCACTAATATACCACGATATAAGTAAGGACTTTTTTCATTTGGAAGATATTTTTCGATTCGACATAGCCTACCTAATTTATTACATCCTGGGTGGGGTGATTGAATGTAATTGCAACCCGAGATGCGTAATCCGCGATGCCAACACAGTTAATTTTAACGCTCTACCGCAAGAAGTTCTAGTTACTACCTCAGTGTTATTAGCGCTATATCTTATACATCAGCATTTTCGCATAAAAACGCTTATGAAATAAAACCTAATTCATTAAAATTAGACTAATTCAGATGATAGTTTGGTTGGCCTGGTGACCTAGCAGTTAAGTGTTTAATCGTCGCAACATACAAACCCACCATATCGTTCAGTATGAAATAATAATTATAATAATAATAAAATATTACGGCCTAAAAAATACATATTCTTACGGCTGCTAGTCGGAGCTTTGTTTGAAACGTAGAAACACGTTATGCGAAATATATTGGAATCATGTGAGTGACAAAATTAGGAGAATAATAAGGAGCAAGCTATTAGAGAGCGTACAAAATTGAATTATTGAACAAACCTCCCAATTCATCGTCTCCAAAATGATGAATCACTTCGACATTCTTACCATCTATTCTGAAGAGACTGATTTCTAATTTTCCCCCTCCGAAATCAAATATCAAAATGGTTTTGCTGGTTTTTGACTGTGAAAAATAAGATTTTAATAAAAATCTACTAATATTAGTTTTGAATTTAAATATTTGCTTATATTTAAGACTATTTAATATGTTTATATTTTTCAAAGATTGCTTTTAGCCAATATATAGATAGGGTGTCCATACAGTCTATCGATACCGTAAATTGTTTTGGCCCTCACAGATGTATTAAATGAAGTAAAAAATACTTGAACAATTACTGATTAAAAAACAACAAACCTGGTTAAAATATATTGAGAACTGACCTCATAATAAAATTTAAATTAAAAGGGACTTTATGGACAGCCTGTATATTTAGGGGAATAGAATAAGATTTTCTGGCGTAAAATTTGGATCATATTTTAAAATATTATATTGAATACAAGAACGAAAAGAGCAATTTATTTTTCAAATTTGATTTTCAAATTGTTGTCGATCTTGCGCCATAATCGTTATTTGGATGTTTTTTATATCAATGGAGTTTCCCGCATTTTTTACCCCAAAAAAGGCTGCAAAAAAGCATGTGCGTTAAATTCCAAAATGGAATAAAGAGAAATATTTGGCCCAAATTGCCATTTGAACAATCTCATTTTAGACAGTTGTTAGAATGCCATATAAACGCCAAGTTTGAAATAGATATAGAATAGGAATTATATATTTATCCCGGGAGAGAGGAAAACCGATAAGACGGCTTAATCATATGACGAACCACGTCCTCTCGTCCGGTTACCATGTCGGGTAGGGATTAGTTAGCCAATTATTTGTTTTCGGAAGCATGGACTTGTTTCAATCTCTGGTTTAATGACTTATATCGAAGTGAGACAGCGAGACTGATTTTTTACCGTCGATTTTTCTCGCTTATAATTTAAAAACAACTAACCTTTTTATCATGCGCAAAAGCGAGAGCTGCTGCAGTTGGTTCGTTCATTAAACAAACTTCTTCGAAACCTGCCATTCTTCCAGCGTTCATAGTAGATTGTCGTTGAAAATCGGTGAAGCCCGCAGGAACGGATAAAACTGCTTTTGTGACTTTCACTTCAAGATGATCTTCCGCAATTTTCTTCATTTTTCCGATCATCATTGCAGTAACTTGTTCCGGATACAATCTCTTGCGATTTTTGTAGCTGGTAATCTAATAAAGATATGTAAATTCAAAACAATATACTATTTCCGTATAAACTGTTCTACGGGAGCGAGACGCAAGACAGGTTACACGATGGCTTCGAAAGTACCGCAGTTGTCTTTACTTGACATACAGCTCATCATTTTTTTTTACTCTTGAGTTATATTATATAATCCTCTTCGCAAACGTACTTAAGTAGAACCCCATAACCATTGCAAGACCTCTATGCCTTAATTAATTGTAAATGTAAGATTTCCTAAGTTTTATTCTGCAAGAATACCAATCACGTTAGCAGAAAAAAGATTGACAAGCGATATTTTGACAAACGTAAAACTTTCATACGGTACATAACCTTACCAGCTGGTCGGCATTACTGGTATTAGTAAATGTAATTGAGTGACAGTGTTACGAGCGCCAATAATATTTTCCTATTTAATAGTTTTTTTGATCATGTTGCATCCGAATAAGTAGTTGGTCCGCTAATTATGTTGGTTGGTTAACTTGCACTAGTGTAGCCCCTTGGTTATCGAATATACGAAGCAAAGTTGCTTTATTTGGCGATTCGCCTTTAATTAGGTGTTTGACATATGGTATTGGTTGCCAGGGGGTGTCTTGGCCGAGTAATTACCACATTTTATCAAGTCCGTCTATGTTTTGCCAAAGAACCGTTATAATTCTGATCTAAGATATTTGTACACCGTGGTTTACATACGATGCCACATGTCTTCGAATCTTTTCCGGCTCATTGCCGGACTTGTTCGTATATTTTTTGAGCTAAATGTTCACCGTCAACGTCCACTTGCAGTCGATATACAGGTACAATGGTTCCCATTCAGGCAAATGAAACTGATTTTTGAAAGTTGCTGAACGTTTCTAATTGTGGGGTCGCGAGTATCTGTCGGCTTTGATTTTATGAAAAGTGGGGTCGCGAAAAAAAAGTTTGAGAACCACTGCTCTATATGACAGTGCAATGGGTTCTTTACATGGAAGGCAATTCAAACGGCGATTGAGACCACGTAAATTAGAACAAAATAACAAAAATGCATGGTCTTCTAACCGGTATTTGGCAATTTTCATTTTGATCAGCATTAACGTCGTATCCCACATATTTAAGATGTTGTCTCACATGTCTGTTAGCTGCAGATCGACCAATCAATCGCTTTATGCCTGCGGAAGTAAATAATAAAATAGGCTAAATAAATGGAAACAAAAACGAACTCGATTCCTTTTTTAGAGCATTGGCAAACTTAATTGAATCACATAGTGTTAATTGGGTATAAACGCAGATTGACGCAGGGGTTGATATTTTTATTAAATATATGTTTGCTTAGCCCGAACTCTAAAAAGAACCTTCGCTTCTATAAAAATATCTAGTTTCGATTTCATTGTAATTTTATCGCAGCAGACAAAAACAAAAGAATAAATGTAGTTCAGTCAATTTATTTTTACATTTCAAAAATCAGAACTCGCGGCCTTTAAAAGTCGGTACGTGACTTCAGGGATCGAGAGGTCAGTTTGAGAAACTAAGCTTTAGATATATTAATAGTTAAACCAACTCGTTAACTTACTCGTATTTTACCAAATTTTTAGAGCTTAGACCAGTGGTCCTCACTCCTTAAACTTTTTATTTTGTGGCTCACTTTCCTGGCACAAAAATTGATGTAGCCTATTTACTTTCTCATGCAAGGGGAAAACTACGAGAGAACAAAAAATTATCTCTGCAAATAAAGGGCACTTTCAATTAAATAATTGATATGAAAATTACCAATCAGTAGCAAATAACAACATCATCATCATCATTTCTAATACAATTAAATTTACCTATTCTTGCCATTCTTGATAGATTGGTGGTTTGCCCACCTAAAAATATTCCTGTGGCCCAACAATGGACCATGGCCCACTGGTTGAGAATCAGTAGATTAATTATACCTGTACATATCCCCGTTTATGGCAAAAAATGTCATTTCTTTATAAAATAATAAATAAACCCAATCTCACTGTGCAATGTATTCTTCAGATTCACTGGTGCTTGATGTCTGGCTGCTTCACCAAACAGTCGTTCTTCGTCCGTGAATGCAATGTATGCAGACGTTAACCTTGCTTCGTGTTCATTTGGGATTATCTGTACCTGTTATGCAACAAAGTTGACACATAGTTAAGCGAAGTACAGAGAGAAAAATGAAGATGGAATGGGAATTTTAAGACTATTGCCCAGCAGTGTTTCCCACTCACCTGTTTCAACACCTCATATAGTTAAGGACAGTATAGAGGAAAAATGAGGCGAAATAGGAGTTTTAAAAATATTGCCTAGCAGTGTTTCCCAACCTATAAAAAATTTCTTGAGTCGCTTGTTTTTGAACAACAAAAAACAAAAGTTACTACTTTTATTTTCTAGTAAATTTCACTGTTTATTTTATATTTCATATATGTTAAAGATTTGCTCAATAGTAATTGTATACGTGGTAAGTATAAAAAAAAAACATTTTAGCATTTATTTTGTTATGCTTAAGTAGACCAGATAGAAAGTTAAACCACGCCACGATTTCGGAAACTTCGCTGAGAGCTAACTAGCGCAGCTTCCTCGTTTTGTTTTATATTAGTCATCCAATTTTGTAGCCATAAAAGTACAACGCACCATTTAGTATTTGAGCATATCCTTGGGCCGCGAGATCATACTAAATTTATTTTTTAGAAAATTTGGATCGCTTGAAAAAAGTTAGGGAGCCACTGACCTAAAGCAAAATTCACAGCAGGGTTTCTCGTATGTGGCCACCACGACTCCGAGGGGCTACGATGCGGTCCTCTGGCGACCATGAGCAAAGACCGTCATTAGATACCGTCCGCGATGACTGAATTAATTTCAAATAATTTACCTATGATTCGAATACTTCTTTGATCGTAATGCATTCTTTTTCATATTACTAATATTATTATAAAGTCACTTGAACGTCCCAAAAACGTCCCCTATTATGAGTAGCCATTAAATCATAATAGGCGTTACCCAACATAATAAAAAAATCGTGTGCAAAATACTTGCATTCACACAAACAAATATTTACCAAAGCGTTAGGAACGATTTATTTTATAAGAACAAGGAAACGTCATGTCTATGGCAAGACTCTCAAAAATAAAACGCTGTTGGGAAACGTTCCACTATTATTAGTAGCTATTAAATCATAATACGCGTTATACAATAGGATAGAAATTTCGTGTACAAATCTACAAAATTTTGCAGCGACACAAATAAATATTCACCAAGACGCTGTCAGATATCGGTCGACAGTGTTTACGATCGATCCCTGTCAATATAGTCAGGGAAACGTCTTACTTATAGAAATACCTTAAAAAATAAATACTATTGGGAGGAATCCCGTGTTGAAGGAAGCAGAAACAAAAAGAGAAAAAAAAAACGGGGATATCGGTCGGAGACCGAAGACTTATCGATGGAAACTGCGGTTTCGATTCATGACTCTATAGTGACACCGCGTGTCCCATCACTAATTAATTAATAATTCGCTAATTATATGACATAATTCATCCAAAATGAATAGGCTTCTTTTCCGAGATATGATGAATGCACATGCACAATTTGGAGCAGATTCAACCTCGCCTTCGTGAGATATCGCGCGCATCTAACAGACAGACAGACAAATACCTATCAACATACTTACCGATCTAAAGATCGATAAGTAATGAAAGAATATGAATGTTTACCTTTCCGTTTACACAAACACCAACGCATAAGAATGTCGTTCCGATGTCGATTCCAATCGCCGCCATTTCACCTTGTCTCATGAATGACACCTAGAAGTGAATTGAAGGTGAAAGTAAACCTTTTGTTAGCAAACGATATAGTAATTATATGTAGTCGTCAGATTCTTATTGTTACCAAAAGTCTAAGCCGCATAGAAATACTTTCGCTCCACAGAAACGTGTTTTGCAAATATTTACTGTTACAGCGGTCTTTTTATACAAACAATGTCTGCACATATGGACAGCTAGGTGAGAGCAATACAAGTTATATTTTGATGAAGTTTACAGACCTTTGCTATATACCATCAAGCCTCCTTCCTTACAATTACAAATCAATGTGGTAAATATAAAGCACAACTAAATTGAATTTTGATGGGCACCAGCTTAGACGTTTATTTGTGTTAAAAGCTGAGCTCTTGTGACATTTAAATGTAATTATGAGTCGCCAACTTAAGCATATACCTAAAAATTCTGGGAGCAAAAGTTATAATACTCAATCTGCTTGAACTATAAATTTGGTCAGGATATTACAAAATCAAAACCAGCCCAGGTAAAAACGGTATATTTTGGGCGATTTATGAAGCGTTCTTCTTGAAAACAACGTTTCGTTTGACTAATTCTGCTTGACGTTACAGCCTTAGGCATTACCCAGCAAATTGGAAAATCAGCGTGGTTATTTTGTTCAAATGGTATTTCATGTTTTAGGTATTTCAAGTATTTAAACTTGTAACAGCCTATACGCGTCGCAATACTACTAAAGAATATAGTTCGAATGGCCCATTTAGCTATATAACAGCAGTCTGCAACAGAAATTAAGTCTCGATTCTTTCAAATATATTTATTATACCACCAAGTATTACCACCTGCGCTGGAAAATTGCAATATTACACCTGCTTGTCTGATGCCTTATTGTTCCCTGTTACAGTACGTAATATAAATATAAATAACTTACCAAATACCTTCTTGAAATCCACGAATTCACATACCTACGTTGTACCTAGCGAAAGAATTACTTACAATATTATAGTCTAGCCTAGCTACATAGTAAAAAGAGGAACAATAAAATATTACTCTGGTAGCGTCGTATCGTTTTGTGTGTACCGTATTAGTTTACCGGTTGTCGGCTTCATTCTTGTGCAATGAGGCGTGTCGAAGTACCGAGGTAGAAATTAACACCTCATTCCTTTTGTCCGATGATTGAATGTATTGAATTCAGCTCTTTTATATGGATTCGGACGAATTGTTATCATTGGTATTGTTGTTATAAAAAATCGTTTTCCTCCACAATTATTGGACTAGTCAATTCCAAATTTTCAGTACATCAAGATGAAAGAAGTCACAAGACGACTTTTGCTTTTATTATTAATTTTTCGAATTTCCCCAATAAAATTTGGTGTTTCTTTTACAATTCTACAATTGTACAACAATTCTTTACGTTTCTAATTTTACAATTTTTGCGTATATTGCACCGCCGCATGTCACGTCGCCTTTCAGCAATAGTCAGATAATCCATTACACGTACCAAAGTGGGAACACATTCACCACTGCACAAAATAAAAATAAAATTAGAAATTGTCCAGTTAAGGTGAGCGCTATGGATGCAGATTGCGTTGGAAATTCGAATTCTAAATCATTCAACTGAATAATCGCTAATTTATTATTATAGAACGTGACAGAATGTTTTTCTCAAATTTGCACATTTTTGCATTAGTGGCGGAGGCTTTGTACAAAAGTTACCCAAAGTAAACTGCCACAGCTGTGTATCGCACTGTAATTTGTAATTTCTATTTTGAAGGTTTTTTGAATGAGACAGATAACAGATTACTGTGTGGATCGCATATTGTACTGCGGTTAGCCCATTGACATTCGCGTCCATATGTTGGAACATTGCTGCCTCGCAATGGCTACAATGATATCATATTCAAATCGCGTATTTACTTTTGATTACATTTAATGTATATAGCTATGTTACATTGCCTTTCCTTTAGAACAGGGATCTACACAACCAGACGTCCATATGTATGGTACCACTGTAGCGAGTACTCCCGCAGTATGTGTACCAGGTTAGGGTTAGACCATAATTTTATTCCGATTTTCCTTATTTTAGTTCTATTACTAATTCGGGGACTGTTTGTGTTAGCCAAGTGAATATATCCCCTGCCCATAGTTTTTGGTCCCTTTACACGACTTGATGTAAAACGGCGAACAAAATTAGTTACCTCGATATTGGTATACATACTTCTGGAGCGCCCTGTAGCTAGTGCATAAAGATAGTAACTGTGTCTTTTGATAATTTTCATCACATGTTGTTAACAGTGCGTGTTATTTGCCTGAAACGAGGTCGTGGCTCGAATTCATATCATATATTGTTACTTATCTGCAACGTTTAATGCGAAAAGTTTGATGACGCATTTTCCCACCCTCGCCCAAGTGTAGCATTTCTTTCTTTTATCGTTCTCAGATAGAAATTTGGTTTCATCGCATACTCTTGCGTGAAGATTTCAAGTGTATTTCTTTACCTGTTGTTAGGTTTAATTCGATTGTGCAACTTTACAATAAACGAATATTTGGCATTATGCATTGTATTGTGTTCCTGTTTGACCTCTGGGGGAGTCAGTGGTAAGGACACGCAGATAGGGACATACTTTCCTTACACCCCCATATTTGAAAGAACCGGTACCGATATGACCTAAACTGCCTCTAATTTCTAGGTAATCGCGATTTGGTTCACCCCCAACAAATGTACATAGTTTGAGTAGCTATTGTCATTCCAGTTACCGCTTCAACATGCCTTGGATCTTTTGTACAAAGTAACCACCACCAATGCAAAAATGTGAGATGCGAAAAAAACACCTTCGCCACGTTTTAAAATAACAAGTTAGAATTTATCCAGTTGGGGTTAAGGATGGTTTGAATTTCCAGTGCAATCTGCATTCCTAACCCTAACTAGATAATTACTAATTTCCTTATTTTGATCGTTGACAGGGTGTTTTTCCGCGAGGGCTTCGTACTATCCGACCTGAACTTGAAACATGACGAGAATACATCATCCACTATGTCTGTATTGTTATATGTCTATAATCAAATACCTATTAGGTTTGCCCCTATTTCAAACTTGCTGCTACTGTTATTAACTTGTTAGGTTACATTACATTTGAACTCACGTACATTTGAACCCACGACAACTGCACCTGCATACTATTGTACCTATGGAATTTTTGTTTTACGGATATTTGAACCCATACTAACCCTAACCCATGGGGTCTAGCACCCGCATATAGATTGAACCCGCGGATATACACATGGGTTCAAATGTACGTGGGTTCAAATGTACGGCCACCAACTTGTTACCCTTTTGCTTTACCGTATTAGGTTTGTTCATATATAATACAAATATTGCACAGAGTTCCTCGAGCACCCGGAAAGTTTCTTCGGAAGTCTGCTCAGGATAAAATTCATTAATATATGGGCTTGCGGATTTTGAATAGAAACGTAACCCTGTACGACTGTCATTACAGAACCCTTGGGTGCCTTGAAAACCCCGTTGAAACCACTGCGCCACACGTTAAATAAGATTGCCGACACACATCTCTGTCTTAGAATAGACATAAAAAATCTATTCTGTATCTTTACTGATTCGGGCAATCTCGCGACAGCATTTAACTAGTTTAATAATAACGCGTTGTACCGTTAGTTGGGTTCTTATGTCTATTTACATTGCGAGTTAGTAAACGTAACGATAGTGATGGGATAGCTACTCAGTGTTTGATTTTGATTTATTAAACGGCGAAGCATTTTGTTTGTCAAATAATCAGGGATGTGTATTCGGAATCGCTATTATCGGAATTTTATTGGTATCTAAAATCGTATTTTCAAATGATCAGAGTCAAAAACTGCGTTCGTATTTAAAAAATATCTAAAATTTTGGGTACTCCTGAAGTATGCGTACCAAGATGGATACCAGGTTAGAATTAGTACATAATTTCAGGTACAAATACTACGGGAGTCACTTGGCTAATCCCCGAACTCGTAATAGAACTTAAAACAGGGAAAAATGGAATAAAATTATGGCCTAAACCTAAGCCTGTACACATACTACGTTCCGGTGCCCGCCATATTATAACGCATACTTTAGGAGTACCCATTTTTGTTCATGAAACGATTTTCCTGCGGTCTTCATTGTTTATCTAATTTATCTCTTTAAGAACAAAATAGAAAATAAATATAGTTTTCTATACTTTTTAAAAACACCTATTATTTTCCGCATTACTATTCTTTATTAGGAACGCATTTCGAGTGCGCAAATCTTTTGATTTTACCTCATAATATTTTATTTTCATATTATTGTAATTCGTTCAAAACGTCAAAGATGGTGCTATTTTTTAATACGCAAACCTTTGACTATAGTTTAGATTTAGGCAGTTTGTTGCGTCAAAAAAGAAAATTCGAGGTAAACTCGTATGAAATAGAGAGTAATTTCATATTTGTTATTTTTGCATATGATTTACCCTGTGAGTTGTTCGTGTCTGCGGTTAGCGCTTCTTTATTTATCTTAAAATGTACCATCCGCCAGACAACATACCACTTGCCAAATATTTATATATTCATATTTTATATTTCTTTGAGAGGCTGGCTCGGTTAGATAAGCCTTACTTTTTCTATATATTGACGTGTTAAATTTTACATGTACCATTGATATTTCAAATTACTAATACCATTGATATTACATTTTCTACGAAATCGCGCTCTTAGGCAGTTTTATCGTTGAGAGAAATTTATCACATAAATGGCAGAAGCAGAAATTAATCGGTATGTTATTCAACAATATTTCCTTTCCTTGTGTTCGGATTATAAATGTATTTTAGTTTACTTGGAATAATTCGATTGTCCTGTCTATACCAATGGTTTTCATCCTTTTTATTATTGTGGAACCCCTAAAATACAGGGTGTCCATTAAGTCACTTTACAATTTCAATTTTATTATGAAATCAGTTTTCAATATATCTTAATCATGTTTGTTTTTTAATCAGTAATTGTTTTATTACTTCATTTAATCAAGTACTTCATTTACTTCAAGTATTATTACTTCATTTAATACACCAAAACAATATATCGCATTTAAGAATTTCCTTCGCAATTTAAAAAGAAAATAGGACTTTATGGGCAGGGTCACTATATTTTTTTGACCTCAAATCGGGACGCCTCCGAAGACCATAGCTGTGAATTTTTTCAACTCCAAATTTAACGATTTTATATTAGAGTCCTACATTTAAAACCATCCCGGCTGTTTTCATTGGTCATATTGTCATCGAGAGTTCATGCTCTGTCTGTCCAAATATTGATTTCAGTTGGAAAAATAGAAAAAAGTTTACGTTAAGCACCTTTTTGGCGCACGGGGCTTACACGTAACAGATTGTAGCAATTAACAGCTAACAAAGTTAGCGAAAAATACTGAAACAAAAAAAACCACGAGTCAACCTTTTCAGTAAGCAATCTAGCGGTACGCTACACTCAACAGTATCGAGACATGCTAATTGAAAATGTTCGTGTATTATGCTGACTGGCTGAACGCCAAAGCGGGGTTTTCGACTGACCGGTCGGGACGCAGGGTCAAGACGTTGAGAAGTGGGACTGTCCCGCCTAAAACGAGACGTATGGTAAACGTATTCATGGGCCCCCGATACTATTGCGCTTGTCACGGAACCCCTATCAACAATTATAATAAAAAAAACATGAATTTATGGAACTCAATATTTCAGTTTTGGGCACAGAAACCTATTACAAAAGGTAAAGTGGAAGAAATCTAATGATATATCCACACTAGGCAAGCGAATACTGTTTTAATTTTCAATAGCTGTTTAATAGCAGAAAATATTATATAACACAAATAGATATTAAGAAATTGGCACACAATTCACACAATCCACTCAAATAGGGGACTCTCTCACCGAGCTCGAATAAGCGTTTCATGGAACCATGGAGTTACGATAAACCTCGGCTAAAAAGCACAAATATATACAGACATTTGGCACCATACTGCTCAGTGTTATACATGGGCCTCTGATGAGGCTAGATTAGGGGTGAGCATGGTTTTTGGATCAGGGGCCAACAATTTTGTCCCCTTAGACTGGCGGACCATCTAAGTGTGAGTAACGTAAAGGGGGTGTAAGTGTAACGTAAATAGTTACATTTTATGAACAATATTACCAGTGTTACAAAAGCAAAAGAGGAAAACAATAAGCATCGTGCCGACACTGAATTTAATCGAAATCTCAACAAATTCCTTGAGCTTTTTTTTACCTAAAACACCAAATTTCGGTTTTAGTTTGGTTGTGGCAGCATTAGAAGGGCCGGATTGAATTACCCATAACTTATAAGCAAAGTTCGAATGAAATTGAGAAACATGTTTAACAATGTTTATCATTTTTATCAAGATAATCCCTAAGAGAATGCTTTTTCACAAGCATAGGCGCAATGTGAATAGCACTCAGTGTCGTTTACTCCGTCATCCGTTGTTCGCCAAAGATATTCCCCACAATCCTCGTTTCCGTCGTTATTTGGTTCACCGTTTCTCCATGGAATACTTCTTATATCCGTCAGGATGTTCCCATCTGACCAAACCCAAACCCCCTCTCGTTCAATGTCATTAAGCCCGATCCATATGCGGATGTTCCGGATACAAATTTTTGGAATAATTTCGCTGGAAATATAAAAAAATAAAAACCTTTTCAGACATGTCTTCGAAATAAACGATGATTGGAAATCACTTTTGCATAGATCAAAATGATGAGCAATAACAGATCGTATTAACAATATAAACGGCCCCAATTACCCATATCTGAATGGCTCATATGGTATTTGGTAACATTATATTACAGTAGAGTCAACTAGCCGATGATTTAACAATAACATTGAGGAAACCTAAAATAACAAAGTGACTTATGTCAAAAATTTCAATCTGCCCATGCATAAAAACTTTTAAAAACTTAGGAATTCTTTTCCATAACTTATATTTGTTTCCATCTGAGTGGCTAAATTGTTTTCACATCTTTTACAATATACATACTCCGAGTATTTGACTTAACACTGAGAAAACTTGACTTAGAAAATAGCAACAAACTTCATTAAGTATACGTTACCTTCTGACAGCAGGATCTCTAAAGCCAGTGGAAATTAACCGAGCACCCAGTTGTTGGCAGCGGTTTCTCGCAGTCTGGTATTCAACTTTCTCGGAAAACCCTTTATAAAAAAGATTATTGCTGGCTTTGAACCATCCAGATAACTCGAAAATCTTTTCATTTCGAGATTCGATCACTTTGATCTAATGCAGAGAAAGTTTTATTATTAGACATCTAAAAAAATTGGGTTGGTTTTTCTTCTCTATCTCCACACTAGACTTCTTGAAAATGTCTTGAATACTGAATTCGACCGCGTGGAATGAGATTGTGCTTTTAAGCTATGGACTCTTAAGAAGGAAGCTTAACCTAATGCAAGTTTTCTTGTAGTGAGATCTTAGTTCATGAAGGTAAAGTGAAAAAAGATAAATCCAGGTCGAATCGTAGCCAGGTAGATACTAGAAATCGCTTTGCTTAAAACCATTGATTAGGCAATTCTAAAAATTCGCCTCTTCCAAACTAAATTCTGAAATATAAGACGAATATTTCGGCGTATTTTAGAATCAAAGAAAAACTCACAAGATTATCTTTGTCGGACTGAACATTGTTTTTCATACTTTCCAGATCAGTTTCAGATTTTGTTTTTAACAACAAATATTCAGCACGAAAATCTAAATAAATGAAGGTTTTGTAAATTGTGTTAGAATGTAAATGTGACCCATAAGGTTTGACACTTATACTTTATCACTTTAATATTATGAGTTTAATAGCAAAATACGGCCCGCGGGCCCAATCCGGCCCCTTTGGGTAATTCAATCTGGGTAGCCCAATGGTTCTTAAACTTTTTGAGCCGCGCCCCCCCTTTGAAAAATTTTACAAACTTCGCGCCCCTTTGTTTAAAGACAAATAGTAGATGGTCATCATACATTCTCGGTTTTCTGCTCAGTTTGCAATACCTGGTGGAGTCAAACTAATTATTAAGTAAAACTAAACAAGCAATAAACCTATGCTTTAATGTATTTTCTGCTTGAACGTTTACATAAGACACGTGAAATTTCAATCAATTGTTTACTTCATCACTATTGAGCAATGCAAAAATTATTTACTGTGTGTTAAAAATAAGCAACAATTACAGACTTCTTAGCAACCACGAAAAAACCGGTCTTTTTAACGAACGCGGAGACCGTTTCAGGAGCCGTTACATGTAAATTTACCTGACCTCTCGCACCCCCCTGTGAGCATCTCCCGCCCCCTAGGCGATTATATTTGGCGATCTGAGTTGCATGACCGTCAACTCGCAATGTCAAAATCGTCAAATCAAATCAGTCATTATGTGTACGTTCAGTATATTTCTGTCTTGATATTCAATTACTCATTGTATTTCTATTAGAAATTTCATATTTATACCTTTCTTCAATTCGTCAAATCTTTTGTCGGAATCCATTTTATAGATTTCAAAATCGTTTGCGATTTTCATACTTTGGTACATCGCCATTGCAGTCACGATAGTCAGAACAACGACAGCAATTTTCAAACCCCGATATTCTCCACCACGTACATCTGTGTAAATAGCAAATAGTATGTGACAAATTGTTTAGTTCTTGCTGTCTAATAAATTGATTATCGTTATTTTTAAATTGTCAATACGAACAAGCGAGCCATGCTCAAATAGATGTACACGGAGGGCAAAACAATATATTTTATCATTGATTCCCCGAAAATCATATGCGGTACGCTAATTTACCAGTTCACCTATTTTACATCAAGTTGTGTAAAGGGGCTGAAACCTAAGGGAAATATTCACTTGGTTAACACAGACAGTCCCCGAACTCGTAAAAGAACTAAAATATAGAAAATCGGAAGAACATTATGGCCTAACCCTAACCTGGTACACATACGACGGAAGTACCCAAAATCTGTGGCCACCCCACCCAGTACTACAAAATACGGTAACAATTTTTAATATTTTAATGAAAGAATCTCCTACCTCTGTTTTTTTTATCCAAAGTTTTTGTAATATTTTCGAAGTTTTCAAACTCTTCTGGTAAGTTATTAAGAGTGGAACCTGCAAAATAATAAATCAATATAATGCAAGTTGCTCTACGTTAAAACTACAAATTTACAGTGATTTTATGTGGATTAACTGGAATAATATGTAAGATATTTAAACATTTATGTTCTTTGAATATGTGGGAACCCCACACGGTGCAAAAACGTTTTTCTTGAGAGTGCGAGGGCCTGCACCGTTGAGCACCGGCTCTCTCTCGGCAGATCGGAGTGGGGTTAGTGACGTGATATACAAATTCATTCAACATATGCATATACAGCCAACTCATATGCATATACAGCAAATTGAATGTAATATTCAGCCAGTCAAGTTACGTACATACACAGCATATATAGCCAAATCAATATACATACCGTCACGCTAATAACCGAATTGCCTAAGTCATTTTTAGCAGTTTTGAAAAAACGGTAAAAACTTACTAATGATATTGTTATGCCATTTAGAGTCAAATTGCTTATCTGCTTCAATAACATTATTACTTCCTATGTTTAAAATAAATATTTCATCAATATAACGCGCTCTGCTCACCCACCGAGAATACGACTTTGCACATAGTATTTTTATTATAAAGAATAAATTAACAATGTACCCTTGAAAAAAACCAACCAATGTGAATTGAACCCAGATAGTGAATATCACAAATGCACACTTTTCTATGCTGTGGTGTAAATTCAAATATATAAGCGCTAAGTTAGAGTCTAAGATGCAAAAACTCGCAGAAATACTACGCCGATGTTAATTTTGCATTTGCGACGTCACAATAGTCCTCCGTTAGCCAACGACTATTCATTATGACGTAACAATTGCAAAAATGTGAATGTCAAACAAAATCGCCATTATTATGGGTTTCGGAGTTCTTGAGATAAACCTGATTTAACAGACAGGTGTGCAGCATTACATAACTAACTATTCTATAAAAAAAAAACTCAAAACCGGCAAAAATGACTTAGGCAATTCGGTTATTAGCCTGACGATATATAGCATCATAAATATGCATATACAACCAACTCATATAAATATAAATCCAACCAATTTTATATGTACAGTCAACTCGAATAGATATAGATATGGATATGGCATTGGCAATATGGGCGGTATATCATATAGCTTTGACGGTATATGCATAACACATTGGCTGTATATGCATATGGCATTATCGCTATATGCATATTCGTTGGCTGTGAAGGCATATTTTTGGCTGTATTTGTATATCACGTTTCCAATTCTATTGCCATATCATGACTCAATTAATATTCGTACCAATAGCAAACAATTTTTATGAATCATTGAGAATTATTTCGACAAAATTGAAACAGAATACTTTTCACTCAGCTTCACCTGTTTTAAAATAGTAAAAATTCAAAATCGATTGTTCGATTAGTTCCGGAAGAAAAGCAATTTCTTTCAACCAAAATAATTAAGCATACCAATACATATGTACAACAAAATAAAATCAACAAAGAACCGCTAACATATAGTAGTCCTTACCTTTGTATATTGATAACTTTTTATCGACATTTCTCTTATATGCTGGCACCGTGGATTCCATGCACTTCGGTATTAATCACGTTTCTCTGCGAATAATTTAACTAAAATCTGATTGAGGAAACAAAAGTTCCCGCGACAAAATATGAAAACGTTGAGACAAAGCAACACAGTATGCAGTTGAAAGGGCTAACGCTTAATCTAAGACATAATATTTGCCGATCAGCCACCGTGAATGGCGGCCCAATTGTTTTGCTTCAACGCTTGAACGGTTGAACGCCTCAAAATAGAAGTCTGTCTGGCTGTTTTGGCTCGCTGTGGAATCGGGTCATAAACTGTGTTATCAAATTCGAAATCTCGATTCACCGTTTCCCCAACCAGAATAAAATTTATGCATGAGGAATTTCGTTATTTGGGGGAAGAAATATTACTTGTGTGTAGTTAGTTGGTGTAGTTTCAACGATATTCTTCAATTAGTTATTATCATTGTAGTACATTTTATGACATATTTCATCAAAGTATTCAAACTCGAAAACTGCGCCAAACACCAGAGTGCGATGTACGCTTACATTAGATCCACTGGATTTATTAGAGCTTGACAAAATAACAGAAACAAAGATTTTATGCATAGTGACGGAATAATAAAATCAAATAGAGATGAACGGTACTCCTGAAGTATGCGCACCAAGATGCCGCACAACCTGAACCCTAACCTGGTACATAACCTAAGTTCAGGTTGTGCGCCATCTTGGTGCGTATACTTCAGGAGGTCCAGATGAACTTATTGAATGAGGTTGGTGGTCACTGTTTTAAATAAGCAGGAAAGAGAAAAACGACACCATGTTCTCAATTAAAATAAGTTGTTTCGAAGTTAAAACCCGGAGTCAAAATTTGGGTCAATCCAGAATTGTTTGTCAAAGCCGAATTTGTTTTTTCCAATGGTTTGGACTTGTTGAAACCAAAAGTCCTGTTTTGAAATCACGCACCTTACCGTGACCTACTGAATATAGATCGATAAGCCTATTTTGACGGATTATAACTTTCCCGGTTTGGCGTTACCCGCACAATTTTTTACCATGGATATGAAAGATTTTAAATTGCGAGGCCAACATAGTTAACGGTTCAACAAGTGACCACCGACTTCCTACTGATAGGGATAACTATCACATGATCACAGTTCATGGTTGCTAAATTTCTCGTTTGGTCATATAATTAACTCGGGGAATATGAAAGTGCGGGACGCACTGCGGGCGCATGGATCACAATCACTCCATATTGCGATACAAAATAGACAAATAACTGAGATTTTCGACTGCTATGAACAGCAGTTTACAAGTTTGTAATAAAAAAATTTTTCCTCACTCTGACAAGGCGCGTGGAATCAAAAAGCGAACGATAAAATGAGACAAACTCCGTTTGGTCATATAATTAACTCGGGGAATATGGAAGTGCGGGACGCACTGCGGGCTCATGGATCACAATCACTCCATATTGCGATACAAAATAGACAAATAACTGAGATTTTCGACTGCTATGAACAGCAGTTTACAAGTTTGTAATAAGATTTTTTTTCTTAACTCTGACGAGGCGCGTGGAATCAAAAAGCGACCGATAAAATGAGACAAACTCTGTACTTTTTCTCATATAGATCATATGGATTATACATTTTCTCTCCCATTCTCTCATATTATATCTGGCATATCCGATCGCAGGGCGTGTCACTGCCATATGTTCAGATGTTACAAGATCAAGGATTTTTTGTTTTTGTTGCAAGGTCTAACTTTCTATCTACTTCTTATATCGACGCTATTAGTATACATAAGAGTGACTAGATAGAGTTCAGTTTTACTGCTTAGCAATTTATTTCAGGCGCTAGAAAATTATGGAAATAGCTAATCTTAGATGAGAACGGTCTGTGATTGGAAAAAATTTAAAACCAATATCAGTGTATATTCTTATTCAGAAAGGGGCAGATTTAATTTAATAGGAAGCAATTTTCATTTAGCTGAGTATACTTTTACATTCATTTACATCATCGTGGAGAAATCCACACGATATCTATTTTATATTGAATAAAAAAAAGGTTGCACAATGAAAAATTATTTTCTCATTATTAATCCAGCTGTTATTCATTAAATTGAAAAGCTTTGACAACTGCTACGTGTCGTGAACTTCCAGAAGATTTAAAAGATAAAAAAAAAAGTATGAGTGCAAGTGAACTGAAAGACCAACCAATCAATAATGTGACGACGTCGCTAAACGATATTCAGGTGACATTTTCACCGGGAGTTACATTTGCGAGTGCTTGTACCAATGTGGCCACAGCGAACACTTTGACCATCGGTTCTGCTTCCACTCTTAAACCGAGATTCGGCACTTTGCCAATTTCATCATTGCATGGCGCTGTTTGTTCCAACACTACATATTCTAACTGGCATTACAGAAGTTTGCCGTATTCCTCGTGCTATCCAAATTATGGCATGTATCACCCTGCATCTCAGAATTTGTGTTGCAATTTACAACATAGAACAGCTGATCGGCCTTTTGTAACAGAAAATGCAACTTCTTCTGAAAACATACTGCTGGAGGAACGTAAGAATAATGTAAATTTCGCTTATGAAACTGTAATTAGGTCTGTCAAGATTTTCAAGAAAGGCGACGATGTTTATAATTATATATATCAAATTGATGAGATTCTTAAGAAAACAAGAGCTCAGCGTGATCCATCTAAAGCAATTTGTTTGTGGCGACTTCTAGATGACGATATTTGCATTGAATTAAGAAAAGCCATCCCAGTTGAGTTGCAGATGAGTTCAGATGCAATTTTTTACTACTTGGTTCAATTTTGCAACGATGAACTCGAAAGACCTCTCGATGGTATGTTCAGAAGTCGCATGCAGATGGAAGGGGAGAGTTATCATATTTATGCCAAGGCTCTTTCCATCATAGCATATTACGGTTACGGACGAACA